ATAAACTATGCTTGCTTGGAATCATACACTGTACACGTTGATATAGTCTGGCACTTCTCATCCACACAGCTGGAATTACACCTCTATACTCCGTCCCAACACATAAGGCACATACTGGATCTTAGCGCACTTGAGGACTATCCATCTATACACAGCAGGTCACGAGGATGCGTCGTTAGGCCCATGAAAACGCGACGCGCTATTGGGCAACGCGCATGGGTTGCCAAGGAATAAATAGTATGCAAAATGGGACTGTTAAACTAGGGGGGTTGTCAAATAAGAGTGGCAACCCCCTTCCCTCCCCTTCTCTCCACTCTTGAAGCTGGTGCTCGTGCGAGCACAGGGAAATTATTGGTTAGGCCACAGGCTCAATTTTCATCCTAAGCGAGTTACATGGACTTTCTACTTGCATGCTCAAAATATGGCAGATAGATTTCTGGATGGATTGTCAAATGGATTACTCCAAAAAAAAAAAAAAAGAAGACTACAGGCTATCTTCTCAGGGATATGGTTGGATTGGTGTTTGCGGCATCTCCTCCTATGGCCATCAACCTGGATGGCGCAGAGGCAACTAGACTGCCCGAGATGTCGAAGGTTCCTTTAGAAAATGTCTCTCTCCACCAGAGCCAGTGATGTTGGGTATCGTCATTCTTTGGTCGTGGGCCAGACAGAGGGGAGCCTATTCAAAATAAGGTTTGCGGATGCACCTTGTCAAAAATGCGCCCTTTTTCTCATTGGTGGACGCTGGCCTTTTGACAAGCTGCGCGCGGCTTTGTTTACTCGACGCCTGTCAGTCTTTGAAGCAGCAGCAGCAGCAACTGGTCATGGTCGGAGGGCCGGAGGCCTGCGCGGGCACAGGGATGAATCCCTGGCGGTGGTGCGCTATCTTCATGTGTGTGCTATTTCAGCCCACCAAGTGAAGTGCACACCTCCTTTCTTCCCTCTCCCTTCCACACTCTCTGGCCTGGCAGCTTCCCCTTCTTCGCATTCCAAGCACTCCCCTCCCTTGTCCTGCTCCAGCTGCTCATTCATCCCATCTCCCTTGCTCATTCCTCATCCTCCTCCAGCGACTTCACACCGTAAAGCCCAAGCCGCAATCCTCCAATTGCTCCCCTAGCCAATGCCACTTCTCACTCGCTCCGGGCGCATCATCCTGCTCCTGGGACTCAATATCGTCGTCTTCCTGGCCGAGATCATCGTCGGCTACAAGACCGGCTCCCTCGCGCTCATTGCCGATGCCTTCCACATGCTGTCGGACGTGCTTTCCCAGATCATTGCCCTCTATGCCATCCGGGTATGTATTTTGTTTCGCAGCAGTCGCTCGCCTCATTTGACAGACAAGGGCAGCGTCTTTTTTACTTTGCATGGGGTTGCCATTTCGGGCATGTTAATGGAATGCGTATTTACCTGAACCAACAACCTGATCATGACGACATTTAGTTGGCTGCAAAAACCGAGTGGCAGCCCACGTTATCCTATGGATGGCAGAGAGCCGAACTGCTCGGTGCGCTCTACAACGGCGTTTTCCTTTTGGCCCTGTGCTTCTCTATCATTCTGGATGCTATTGAGCGGTTCTTCAAGCCCGAGGGTAGGTTGTTTGAAACATTGTGCCACGGAGTATTTCGGGCACTTGCAACTGTACGAATGTGCCTGAATGTTCTACAGCTGTTGTTTAACTCGGTAATTGCTCCCTTTCCATTCAAACTAAACAGATATTGAGGATCCAAAGCTGGTCTTGATCGTCGGTGGTATTGGTCTTGCCTGCAATCTGTTCGGTCTGGTCCTCTTCCACGACCATTCAGGACATGGTCACAGCCATAGCCATGGTCATAGCCACGCCAAGAAGGCCAAAGCGAACGAGAAACAGACCACTGACGACGTTCCTGTCCCTCCATCGGCTGCTCTAAGCAACCGCGAGGGCGCTGACCCAGAAAGGCAATCCATCGACCGTCGTCCTAGTCTCCGCTACCAATCGTCCCTCGAAATGATCTCTCCTCTGAAGGAGGTCAACCTGCAGAATCTTCAGCAGGCTGTCCTAGATGTCCAGAAACAACTCGAGGACGATGAGCGGTTCGAAAGAGAGGATGCAGTCAGTTCCGACAGGCATCGCCCCAATGCCGTTGTCGTGAGCATGGATGCTGAAGACCATGACAATCACAACCACGCTCACGAAAAGGCCCACCACAACGATCATGCTGGCCACGATCATCACAGCCATGGGACTGAGGGCAAGAAGGGGAAAATGCCCTCTGGTGAAGATCTTAACATGCGAGGCATATTCGTGCATGTTTTGGGCGACGCGCTTGGTTCAGTTGGGGTGATCTTCACCGCTCTCATTATCTGGTTGACCAATTTTTCGTGGAGATTCTATTTTGATCCCATTATCAGGTACGATGGCAAGCAATTAGCGCTGAAGTGGCGGTCAATGTCCTCGATTTTTGTATTATATAACTCCGACTCATTTTTTTTTATTGCTATTCCGCGCCATAGTCTGTTGATTACGGCGATCATCATCCACTCGGCTGTTCCCTTGGTCCGATCTGCATCCTTTATCCTACTGCAGGGCGTTCCTGTTGGTGTTGAAATCGAGGAGATCCGCAAGGAAATCAAGGCCATTCCAGGTGTGATCTCGATCCACGACCTGCATATCTGGCAGCTTACCAACATCAAGATGGTTGCCTCACTGCATGTCCTCGTCGCAAATCAGGAAGCCTTTACGACGGTCTCGAGGGCTGTCAAGACTATCATGCATCGCGCCGGTGTCCATTCCACGACCATTCAGCCCGAATTCCCTAGTATGAACCCGCACCTCTTCCAGATTGCCAATGCCAAGAACGGTCTGCGACTCCGCAACGCCTCCTTGGACGATGACGCCAATGGCCTGCTTTCTGTAAGTGATTTGAGCAGCCGCGCAACTTCTCTCGGTGCTCAAAGCGAAGAGTTTCTCCCAAGCGGATCTATGGCTCGACCAAGCTCCCCTGGGCACGGTACTGTCGGAGCAAGCACTTCGGCTGCTGGATCCAACGCCAGCGTCCTAATTCTTACGCCAGAAGAACAGACTGCTGTGGACGAATCAAACTGCGCACTCCTCTGTATCGATGGCGAGCAAGCCTGCGACGTAGGACGCTGCTGCACCGCTCCTGTGAAGCGGTAGAGGTGACGAATGTGCTCTAAGAATCCGGTACCGCGTCGCCTCATACCTTTGTTGCCTAGTTCATTCTTAATTTAATAGAGGCGAGAAAGAGTTTCTCTTCCTCTCTGTATCTCTCTATTCATTCCCATTCCTACATTACAAGACGCAGAAAGTACTATAGATTGCATTTATTTTAAAATAAAGACCTTCTTGAAAAAACCAGTTGTCGTGTCTTTATTTCATCGCAGCAGTCATATGTAGAAATCCTATCTCCCTCACTCGGTCGTCGTTGCCGCTGTTGCTGTTGCTGTTGCCTAAGAGAGCAGTTTCTTCAGACCGTCCCTTTGTGCTGTGGTGAGACTAGCGGGGAACTTGACGACATACTTGACAATGAGATCGCCCTTCTGCCCAGGCTTCTTCGAAATCGGCATGCCTTCGCCGGGAAACCGCTCCTCCTGTCCAGGGCTGATGATCCTGGAACTACTGGCAGAGACAGGAAGTGTCTTCCCATCGAGCGTTTTAACAGCCTTTGAGAATCCAGTCAGTGCTTCGAGCAGCGTGAGCTCCAAGTTCATCATCAGATCATTTCCTTCTCGCCTAAATATAGGGTGTGGTTTCTCTTCCAATGTAAAGACAATATCTTGGATACCGCCGTTCGGGAATTCGTCGCCCTCGCGAGGGAACTTGACCTTCGTGCCGGCCTTCCATCCAGGCTTGACATCGATGCTCAGGATCTTGTCCGGAGTTCGGCCAGAGCCGCTGCTCACCTTTCGTGTGACCTTCAACCGTTTGGTGACGCCCTTTTGTAGATCCTCGAGCGAAACGGCCAAGGGTCGCTCTAGTGGTGGGGGCTGCTCCGGAGCAGCTTGCGGACGACGCGGACGGCCACGACCTCCCATACCGCCCATATCACCCATTGGCATGCCCCTCATACTAGCGCCGCCATATCCTCCCATATCGTTGTCGTCACCCATACTTTCTGCAGTGGCGCCACCAGCGCCACCACCAAAGGATGCAAAAAACTGCTTGAAGATGTCCTCGGCATCCGTGGGCCTGAATCCACCGCTGCCGCCACCGGGTCCTCCGGATGTGAATGTAAAGGTGCGTCCGCTACCGCCACCAGGGAATCCACCGCTGAATCCTCCTGGGAATCCACCTGCACCGCCGGGGAATCCGCCCTCGGGACCACCAGGGCCGGCACCACCCTTGAGACCTTCCTCGCCATACTGGTCATAGATAGCCCGCTTGTCCTTGTCGCTCAGAACCTCGTAGGCCTCTGAGATGTCGTGAAACTTTTTCTTGGCCTCTTCTGCAGTATTCTATATAGTTAGAAGTACAAACCACACAGTTATCGTCAGCTACTATTCTTTTTATTTGTTTAACAGTGTCTCCGCCAATGACTCGTTTGAGGTCAATTGGAAGCGCGGCATCGAAAGAGTACCTTGTCTGGATGATACTTGAGTGCCAGTTTGCGGTAGGCTTTTTTGATCTGGCTGTCGTCCGCATCCTTGGACACGCCCAGGATCGCATAATAATCGGCCCCCATCCTTTGAGAAGTGTATGTGATAAGGTAAACGATGCGAGAAGAACTATTATTTATTAAAGATTGAAGAAGGGAAGTAGAGTGATAGAGCAGCGTCCAGGTGTAAGCAAGAGAAGCAGCAATTGATATAAAATGAGGAGATGGTGGCGAAGAGGGAGGTTGAAAGCTGTTGGGCAAAGAAATGGAGCAAAAGAAGAGGTGTGCTGGTGTGTCGGGGTGTGCTATTGCCCGAGAGACCGTTTTTTTTCTCATACATGTCTCGGATCGAGCTGGAACCTTGAGGAGCTTCGTCAGCTTTCAAATAGACGTATAGCCGATCTATCCCCCATGAGCTTATCGCGTATGTAGTGTTGGGGCAAACGCGACGCTGGGCATGTTGCTGCGGCAAAGTCTAAGGATGGATACAGATGTGGCCCAGGCGTAGACCATTTCAACGCGCAAAACGCGTATCAAGTGGTTGTAACGCGTCTTTTTTTTTTTTTTTTTTTTTTTTTTAGATAGTGTTACACCGTCACGAAAGATCAACAAAAGGATATGGTCAGGGCGTGCACATCGCGTTTTCTGTCTTGTTCAGTCCTCCTCATCGTTCACATCAGCTCTCTGTTCAGTCCTCATCCCCAGGAGTCCTCCACCGCCACCAGAGAACAGACAAACAATACCAACAGACTGACTGACAACCAGGTACACCCGGACAGACTAACCAAATGGAGATCTTGAAGGACGATTTCGAGACCAAGCTGCCGCTGTTGCAAAAGGCCATTGCGGAGTGCGACTTTGTTGCCGTGGATACGGAGATGACAGGTACATAACAAACTGAGAAGCAGCAGTGTCTCGAACCTATGCTCGGGAGTCATGCTGGGCTGTGTCTGTTGCTAGGAACATCAAACTGACCCCAGCTCCCGTCACTTCACACACAGGGCTCGCTTCCCCCGCCAATGTCCCAAAGTATCAGGACAGTCTTGCGTCCCGCTATTCCAAAATCTCTATCAGTGCTTCAAACTTCCTTGTCATTCAATTGGGAGTCTGCACCTTCACCTGGTCTGAGGAAGCAGGCGGGTATGAAGCACGGCCATTCAATTTTCCATGCTTCCCCGCCAGCTCTGACGTCAACAGGTCGGGCGAGCGGTTCTTCAAGTGTCAGAGCTCTAGTTTGGAATTCCTGCTGAGCAACGGCTTCGATTTCAACAAATGGATTCGCCATGGTATTCCGTACCTCACACGGCAGGAGGAAGAAACCTATATCGTCCGAAAGAAAGAGAAAACTGCGGTGCTTGCGACGACCACCTCGACAGCCAATAATATCCCAATTGACGACCGCAATCGAGAATTTATCACATCCACAGTGTAAGGTTTCATCTTGATGTTGTTTGCTACCTTTTGGTTGATATGGTTATGGAGTTTCGGTGCTGATTTACTCTAATGGTAAATGTACTGTGGATAGCGTCAAGATCAGGGGCTGGTTTGAGAACTCGACTGAGACAACTTTGACCATCAGTGCACCCAACAGTTTCTTCCGAAGATTGGTCTATCAGATACTGCGCTCGGACTTCAACGATGAGCTTCATGCAACCCCAAATTCTCAAGCACGGACTATGACGATTCAGCGATTGACGGATGAAATTCGCCAGCAGCAGGAGGAGGCCAAAGTGGTAAAAGCACCAATGCTCAACCTTCGCCGTGTGCTGGATACGATTTCGGACGCGCGCAAGCCCTTGATCGGGCACAACTGCTTCTTGGATTTGATGCAAATCACCCAGCAATTTCTCTGGGATCTGCCACTGGATTTGGATGACTGGAAACGAGCCGTGATGCTTGAGTGGAATTTGTAAGTTATTGGCGCATATCCTATACTGGCTTCGCATCTTGTAGCTCTTAATATGACTCTCACGCCAAACCCAATCTTCACTTCTTAGAATCATTGATACAAAGCACCTGGCAGGACATTCTCTGCTTAGCCCTCTGCTGAGTAATACAGGACTTGAGACTGTTTCTGAATGCGTACAAAAAGCACCGTTTGCCACAGTCGGCCCCAAGATCGGTATGGAGGACGATTAGATATATTCAAGCCTACATCCGAACCTGGCATGCTCAACTAATGACAATTCTTTACTCCGCTTGGACATATTTATAGTCATAGCAAAGGACTTTAGTCGGTACCAAGCGGATGCTTCAGTATCAGATGCAGAGAATGACTCAGTGGATGGAGTAGCAGCCAAGTCAGCGACCAAGGACACGAATAATGAGATCAAATACCACGAGGCCGGCTACGATGCCTATATCACCGGCCAGGCGTTCCTTCGCTTTGCTGGTTATATTCTCAAGGAACGCGAGAGGCTATCTTCTGGGGATGACGAACACACGCGGAAAAAGCGAAGGCTGGAGGATGTAGACTTGGACAATGCACAGGGCGATGCCCCCGAGTCAACCAGCGGAGCATTGAAATCCAAGCCCCTGGTCGCCGCAGATGATGTGGATGAGGAAGAAGAGGGTGAAGTGTCAGAGACGGAAATGGAAAAGGATGCGCTTTTGGAGAAGCGGAAGCGTGTTATCATGGACAACCCGACGAAGGACATCTTGGAGACAGAGGAGCTGAAGAATTATTACAACTTACTGCATATCATGCGATCGGATATTCCTGTCATGAATCTCGCTGGCCCAGATCAGGAGCCTGAGGAGCGACCATGGAGCTACCTGCTCAAAAATATCCCCTCGAACTTTGAGACGTCGACACTGTTCCACCTGTTCGCGTCGTACAACCCTTTCCGGTTCAACTGGATGGATACGACGAGTGCATGGATTCAACTTAGTCAACGCGCGCCGGCTTCGGAAGGAGAGGAGTCCTCGGGGGAGCCGTATGAACCGACACCGTTGCCCCTGGGGCGTCTGGGCGAGGCATATGTGAATCCATTGTGTGTGGGAGGCGGGGGTGCGGCGGTGAAGGGGCGCGATGCGGGCATTGTGCCAGAGGCTGCTGATATCGAAGTTGTTTCGTGGAGGGCCTGGTACGATGAAAGGGAGGAGCTGGAGCGACAGCAACGTCATTTACTGTACTCGCAGCAGCAGCAGCAGCAGCAGCAGCAGGCGCAGTCGGGAAGGGACCCCAACGTACGCTTTCCAAAGAGGCCCATCCGAGTGAACGGAGCATCGACGCCGCAAGACTCACCACAAGGTAATCGGATGCGAAAAGAAAAAAAAAATGAATGTGTGGTGTGGAACACTCTCTGTCCTTTTTGTTCCTGGTTCTGGGTTCAGTGGCTGCTCTGTGTCGTGGAGATACATATCCGGAACAGCGGGCCATTGCGTCTCAATTGAGAAAAATACACTAAATACACTTCTAACGCCTTCGATTTTAGTACTATCTTCATCATTAACCACCAGCGCGAGCTCACCGAGGACCAGCGATGGATCTAGTATCAATGTCATTGCTGCATCTACTACAGACAACAGTAGCAAGGCCAGCGACGATGCAAGTGTAGCAACTGCTGGAACGAAGAGGAAGCAGCGCGAGGACGAGGATGCAGTTGACGAGAAGTAGCACGGCGGGCTATTCATTGCTGCTGTTGTCCATCCCTGTCCCTTTCCTTCTTTTGGATGATCATGCCATTTTTAATTTTTTAAACAAACGTATGCGATTTGCATAATAAACCGGTGTCCGCTTGCGAATGGAAACCCAAAAAAGGACGACCGTGTTCCATATCCCACTCACTCAAACATAAACACGCGGCAGCAGAGGTACCGGGAGCCGGGGAGGGAGATTGTCCCTTGATCCTGTCGCTCTTTCCCTTCCCTCTCTTTTTCTCTACTTCCTTCTTCATGCTCTTCCGCTCCCATCCTTGTCTTGACTCCCATCCGCTCCTGTCCAACGTCGACTTATCATACGCCCAAGTTTGGATTTTTTATCAGATCGACTGTACACACATATCACATATCATACGCCTTACCCCTGACAGCCAGTATCCACAATGGCGCTTACGGTGCAGACCCCGCTGTTCTCCTTCATCTCGGACCAGTCCCTGGCCCTCCTGCTGCCGATCATCGTCTACTGGACCTATTCACTCCTTTTTCATTGGGTGTCTGTCCAAGAGTTCCCTTGGTTTGAGAAATACCGTATCCATACCAAGGAGGAAGAGACTAGGAACAGGGTCTCGCTACCAGAGGTCATCAAGGCTGTTGTTATTCAACAGCTTCTTCAGGTAAAGGCTTGTTATGGTTAATTTTGGATTGGGGAGCAATTCTACGCAAAACCAATGTGCCGAAGCTTACTCCTGTAACCCATCGTGAATCATCCTTGACTAAACAAACTTTGACATCCCATCTTCGTTTGATAGACTGCGCTGGGATTCATTGTCGTGCTTGCAGACGACTCGGACGTAGTCTTTGACGACGAGTTCAGTCTAGCCAGATACCAGACATGGATCACTTCGCTCCTTTCCTTGGCCGGACTACAATCTCTCGTCTCTCTTTCGATTATCAAAACGACCGCTCAGGTCTTCTACTACTGCCTCGAACCCCTTGGACGCTTCACAGTCGCGATGACTGTGCTCGACACCTGGCAGTACTTTCTTCATCGGCTCTTTCACGTTGTACCCTTCCTCTACCGACACTTCCACTCACGTCATCATCGACTCTATGTGACCTACGCCTTCGGAGCACTTTATAATCATCCATTCGAGGGCTTTCTGATGGACAGCGTCGGTGCTAGTCTGGCGTTCTTGGTCTCGGGAATGGGGAATCGTGGAGCGTTCGCGTTTTTTTCGTTCTCGACTCTGAAGACACTGGATGATCATTGTGGGTACAGTCTGCCATTTAACCCGCTGCAGAAAGTCTTTAGTAACAATGCAGACTAGTAAGTCGACCTGTTTCTTCGATTTCATCCTGATATTCAAGCCCCCGAGCTTATGCTAACAACCCTTCTTTTTAAACAATCTACCTCTGCATTTCAAAAGCCATGATATTCACCACCAACATTATGGGATCAAAAACAACTATTCACAACCGTTTGGTACAATGTGGGACCACATTTTTGGCACACACATGTCGCGCGAGGAAGCCAACGAGATTGTTCGAAAGAAGCGGGAGCGCAAGGCCGCAGCTCGGGATTTCAATTCCAAGGCTACTCCAGCTACGCTTTCCAAGAGCTCCATCGCCAGCTCAACTCGCACCAGGGACGAGGATGTTCATAGCAGTGGGAACAATAGCGGGAACGACAGTTTTGAGGAGGATGAGGTCGATATGCAGCTAGAGTCGCGAGAGAGCAGGGGTGTCTATCTTGACAATAGGGTCAGAGGTAGAACTGAGTTGCGTGAGCGGCTCTTAACGCGTGCTCAAGCCGATAATGGGTTTGTCTCGGGCAAGGGACAGGGCGGGGCACTCTGATCAATGCGACAGCATATCCCATGCTCTGTACGTACTATACAATTACTCTACAAATCTACAAATAAAATTAATATGATGCATGTTGTGCTATGGACTGTGAGGCTCATAATGATGATGTTCTGGAACAGATGACACGGCGCAGACAAAATGGTCTGTGTCCTATTTTTTTTCAGTAAGCGTGGTAATTTAGAATGACGCGTATGTGATCCTGAAAGTTCAGTCTGAGGCGCACACCTCTAATCCAAATTGAGTTTGGACCCTGCGTAATGATCGTTCTTTTATTGGCATTGCAGGCATTCCGATGACGGCGAGGGCATGCCCTCTTGTTTTTCCTTAGACTGGTTGGTAGAACAAGCAACGACCACCGTTCAACGGCTCATAGCTGCTAATGAACGCACTCTTAAGCCGGGCCAAAGAACGGATCATTACGATACTGCGTCATCAGCTGCTGGAACCATTGTTCTCGATATAAAAGCCAAGGACAGACCCTGAAATGTCTCTCATCAATCTATCAATCTTCAAACATATTACAACCATGCCACTTTTTCAGCGTCGCCCTGCCCCTCAACAGGTCTATTACAAACCGTCTGCAATGGATCGTCTCAGAACTATCTTCACCCCCCCCGGTCAACGTCCCTACCACCATAATCACCACCATCACGCCGCACCAGGCGCCGCTGTTCCCATGGCAGCTCCAGCTCCAGTTCATGGATCCAGAACCCAATACGCGTCCCGAGGGCCAGGACGTGCCGGTGGACTCTTCTCACGCCGCCCTCGTGAACAGGTTGTCGTGGCGCAGCCTCAACGAAGGGGATTCTTCTCATCGCGCAGACATCATGAACCTGTGGTAACGGGTGCTCCGGTTGCGGGAGTGGGACATAACCGCGTGCACAATGGTCATCACAATGGGTCGAAGCTTGCGGCGTTAGGAGCGATGTTCTCGATGAAGAGAAGGCAGCACCGTTATCCTCCACAGACGGCGGCTGTGTACTAGACGTAGTCCTAGTGCCCCATGTCAACAAAAAATCACCTGTAATTACCTTACTCCCACTCTGTACCAATATGTCTATAACACATAATAAATAATATATCATTCTACCACTCAAAAAATTGGACAATGATAACTTTTTTTATAATCAAAATACTGGAGGAGAGCAACAGCGTGGCTAGTAGAGGCGAAGAGTTGTAAGTTTAGTGCGGGGCCGTTTGTTAGCTATCTCTAGGTAGCTTTTGGTACGCCTATGCGTCTGGGGAGCTGGCGTCAATAAAGAAAATAAAAAAAGACAGCATTTGCTCCTGGTCCCAAGAAACACTTTGATGAACATATATTGACGTTGCCCTTTTGAACTAAACACACTGACTACCTTACCACTCCGTACAACAATATCTTGGTACACCCTGCCACAGCTGGCTTTCACACGCAGTGTCAGCAAGAGTAGGGACGGGGGTTGTACACCCTTCTTCGACCACTAAATGTCGCGTATGCTCAGTAACTGGTCTCCTATGTTGTTGACCCTTTGTTCTGGGACCCTACAGTACAGTTGTTTTTATTATCTATCTATCTTCTTGCTTTTCTTTTAATGATATCACTAAACAATGGTGGCCCTTTGTTTATCCTGAATGGTTTGTTCTAGCGCCTCTAGCGAGCACTCCACCATCTTGATCTTGCCCTTTATGACGCGACGGAACCGGGCTCGACGGACCTGGCGGAAGCAAAAGATACACATCTTGGATGAACGATATTCATCGGTCATGGCGACGATGCAGTGTCTCCTATGTTCCCCTCGCATCTCATATTGGCGCCTTTCTCCTCCAAAGCCTCATCGATACCTTCAATATCGATATACTTATCCTCATCGGTCTGACTCTCTGGATAAAAATAAGATATTCGACATGGGCACGTTAGAATGGAACGCTATCCCAATACATTACGTGGCGTTCATCACTGACTTACGGCTGGTAATAGCAAGGCCGAATAGAGTCCGACCTGGATACTCGCTTTATTTATTCGCTCTGCTTATTCCAAAAACTTTAGAAATTCGCACGACAAAAATGTTTAGCAGATCTGATGATATAGGAAGTCGATAGTACCACTACAGTCCGTGTTCGCATCGTCTGAAAAATTTCAGAGGATGCGAACACGGACTGTATGTTCTTAATGGAACCAACTGCAGTTTCTTGCTGATCCAACCTTCGCGAAAAAAGCACAAGACAATTCTCTCAGCATATTGTGTCTGCTTTTGATTTCCAGACGTTACAAAGGTAACTGTCACCCCATTCCCTTGATACGGGCTACGGTTACCAGTAGGGTTGCATTTCACAGAGCGTAATTTCTGTAGCGCTAAATCTCGCGCGCACATACCACATCTAGGGCAAGGTAATTTTGAACGATAAAATTCATATTGGCTCCTGATCTTGACTAGAAGAGGACCCTTCGGACTGGACAGATTACGTAGCGGTTTTAGGCTCCGGCTCAAGGATCAGAAACCATGCGGCGCAGAATGTGAACGATAGGTATTCGCTCCTTCACTTGATATACATTGGACCTGATGGACCTGCCAGAGCTATGAACGAACATGGCTCTCGAGTTTGGTTACAAAGTGTATGTGTTTGCGCCTCCAGCTGCAGACGAATGTAGTCGCGCCCCCAGCTGCAAACAAATGTAGTCGCGCCCCCAGCTACAAACGAATACGTTTGCGCCTCCGGCTGCTGGGAAGGAAAATGTGGTACAGAACAAAGTGTCCCTGCGCCTCCAGTCTACGAGAGCTTGCCCTCGCAAACTCCTGACCGTCTATAAAACCAGCGTGATCCTGCATCCCATTCCTAGTTCCTCAGTACACATTCCACGGACTTGTATACCTCGCCTATCACCACAGACGAGTCAGCAACATGCCTCAATCTGCCATGTTTCTAGCTCTTCAGTCCCAGGGGCCACTCACCTCGCTCTCAAGCCCAACAAGTACTTGCGCTTGCAGAGAGTGAGCTGAGTGGCCCCGGAGGATAGCGCGACCAGCACGACGATGCTTGCAAGGACGACCTGCAGATTCTCCTTTGGACGCCCCCTTCGAGCCTTATTGAGCACCGGACCCTGAGACGACAGCAGAGCCAGAGCAGCGGGGATGTGTGGTCCACACATGATCTTCATTGCTTCTGTCTACACGTTTCTGGGGCTCCAGGTGAGGCAGGGGGCTGAAGAAGGAGGAAGGGGAATACAAATATCTGCCGGTCAACATGTCCTTGCAGGGACAATGAACACCCCTTTTATGTCAAAAGAAAACTTGGGAGGATTGTGGAGGGGGAGAGGGGGACCCGAGCTTTTCTCTGCGACGACTGTCTGGTGTTGTGCCTAATGCGCCTGTGCCCATGTTGCTATCTTTTTTTTTTTTTTTTTTTTGATGCGGCGGCCAAACCAGATCTCTAAGTGCATGTTTTTCCCTAAATGCACAATCACGTGCAGGATCTGCATTCGGACTCATCAAGGTCCCAGAACAGGGGTCCTCAACGCCCGGCTAGCTCAATCGGTAGAGCGTCAGACTCTTAATCTGAAGGCTGTGGGTTCGACCCCCACGTTGGGCGCTCTCCTTTTTACGAGTTTTTTATTGGTCTGCACGAAAGCGGTCCAGGTGTATTCATCACGCAGCGCGAGGAGGGCTTTGTCTGATAGTATATGCCGGCTCCGTCGGATCATTTGCTGCAAGTGCTAGGGGCATACTATGGTGTTGCACTGTACCTGGTGAAAGTCGTGGTACCTCAAAACGCTCGAAGATGATAGACAACAATAAACCATTTTATTCAAGTTGTTCGATCGCTCAGTCCCTTTATAACCATGGATATTTCTTGCCTAAATATTTAAGTTCTGCTTTCAACCTCACGTTCTCGCATAGTAAATCCTCGTACCTTGTGTCCCAGTATTCCTTCTTGGCGCCAAATAATTCCTTCTCGCGCCTGAAAGCCGCCAGCTCGCAACTGAGTGTTACTGCCTGTTCTTTTAAGAGTTCCTTATTAAAATCCACCATCTCCTGATGTGCCTTCTTCTTCGGTTCCAAGGCTTCTTTTTGCGCAAGGCTTTCTTCTCCTTCTCAAACCAACCGTGGTTTAAATGGTTGGCATGATTTGACTGGTTTAGCCGATTTGCCTGCTTGAGACTGTTGATGACATCGAGCATCATTGTAGCACTGGACTCGTTGGCTCTTCGACGCTTCTTTGTCGGCCTCGTTCTGCCCTCGCGCACCGCTTGATCTTCTAAATCTATCAAAAGAATAGGGTGCGGTTAGTGAATGTGCAGAGTGTTTGGAAATCGTCGCACAAATAAAAGTGGAACATACCCTTAACTGTATCGCTTTCAGCATTCGCGCCAGCGAAAACACTTCCATTCTCACTACTGTCGTCAGATTCAGTATTGCTATCGAAGGCATGGCTCTCTGTGTAGTCGCTGGATTGCACAGGACGTGGAGGGTCAAGTGAAAGACTTCCAGCATATACTGTATGGAATCGATCATAGTCCGGGCAAAGTGCCAACATCCTGCCGCGAAGGGTGTCGTTGTCCGTATTTCCTTCAGTCGATTTCGCTAGATTCCTCGCCTCCATATACCTCTTTTTTGCATATTGAATCTTGGACTTGACTTGCTCTGCATCTCAGTTGGTGTTATCTTGCTCGTTGATAAAGCTGGCAATCTTCTTGCGCACATGGCCTGCTCTTTTGCCGGGTGTTGGACGAACGGGGTTAAGTCTTCTGTGGTTATCATGATCGACAAGCCAGTTCACCAATGTAACCATCCTTGGGGTCGTCCAAAAGGATTTTTTCAGTTCCTTTGTTCCCTGTGAAGACGCCGATTTCGTTGCAGATTGGGCAGGTTGGGTAGGTTGAACAGGTTGAACAGGTTGAACAGGCTGGGCAGGTTGAATAGACTGCGCAGGTTGCAACAGTTGCAAAAGTCGCGGCGATGGAGTTAGAGATGGCATCATCATACCCGGTGGAGTGCCTCTCATGTATGGTATAGTGGTGGGGGCATGAGATGTATGATGATAAGGGGCATGCGAAGGATACCGTGAAGGTGGCTGATAGGATGACGCGAGAAAGGAGCTCAAGGTAGAGAGAAGATTGAGAAGGGTGACTGAAGGTGTAAGGATAAGGCTGAAGGGCGAGGTATTCACGAATACGTGCTCTGTGCCTTGAGAGGAAATCTGCTAATAGGTGCTCGAATATATTTTTAAGATGCGAATACAGAAAGGTATTAGTAGGCCAGAACGGGCTACATGGACTCCTTGCGGGAATTGACCTGCATGCTCAACGCGGCAAATGGATATCCGGATGAGTTGTCAGATAAGATTGGTGGCTCATTTTTTTTATAACAATTTGTCTCTCGAGTCAATTGACTCTGTGAATCTATCAGACTAACTAGGAAAGATCTACTACCGTTGTCCTCACCACCAAAGCGGAGCCGATCCACAGTGATAAGGCTGGTGGCTCAGGTTGCTGCGTCTCTTGAACTGCGCAGATGCATTGGTATATATTTCTTTCTTCGCTTTTTGTCAATTTCTCATCCCACTTCTCTATCTACCCACTAGTATTACAAGTGTAACATCGACATGTCCGGCAACATCAACACCCCCAAGATTGTGCTTGGGTAGGCCTCGTCTTCAATTCATTGTTAGCCGTGAGAAAAAGTACCTCGAGCATGTTCTGACCATCGCCTGCCCGCTTGATGAAAAATTGATACTTAGAACAATGACCTTTGGTCTCGAGGGAACAAACGAGACTACCAGCACTGTCCGAGTCCGTGGCGTCGAGAATATCAGGCTTTTTCTGGACAGCTTCCACGCTCACGGACATGTTGAAGTCGACACTGCTAGACTATACTGCAATGGCGATACCGAGACCGTACGTTCAAGACCCACTTCACTGAAATATATCGCGATTGATCACATCCGCGACGAGCTACAATACTCAAACAATATTTTTACAATCTCTTAGGCTTTGGGGCAGCTTCAACTGGACTCATTCAAAGTCGCGACGAAAGTTTGGCCAACTGCGCCTAAGGCCCATGGGTCGGAGCTTCTCAAGAAGACATTTAGAGAATCTTTGGCGGCTCTAAATGCCAAGAAGGTCGATATTTTTTACCTACATGCCCCTGACTACACCACTCCATTTGAAGAAACTATCAAGGCTGTGGACGAGCTCTACAGGGAGGGTCTCTTCGAGAGGGTACGTATTTTGTGCTGGGGCTGTAGGCGACTGTCTCAAAGAATCTGACGGAAAAATTCACGAGCTGCGCACTAACCATCAATTTGTTTGCGTTATTTGTTGCACGCTCTTAGTTTGGATTGTCCAACTACGCAGCGTGGCAAGTAACATTTATCCACCAACTTTGCAAGCAGCACGGCTATGTCCTTCCAACGGTCTATCAGGGAATGGTATGCAGCGTTTTCGACCTCTCACTCTTCAATTTGTGGATCTAATGTGCTATGGTCGATTACTAATATGATATCAATATCATTTTATAGTACAATGTGATCACAAGAGATGTTGTTCGCGAGCTTCTTCCATGCTTGAAGGCACTTGGCATCGCCTTTTACGCCTACAACCCTATTGTAAGTCGGTAGTATATGATGTGCTGGTGGAAGAAGTTATTTCTTACGATATGAGTCTGACTCTTTTTTTTTTGTCATACGGTTGTAATAATCTCTAGGCTGGTGGTCTTCTCTCAGGAAGATACAACTTTGAGAAGGAAACTGACGGTGGCCGCTTTGACCTCAAGGTAATCATGGCGCTCTACCCTGCATTAATAACATGTATCCATCATCGAACAAATCGAGATAATAATATCTCCTTTTGTCCGTCGTCCGCTCATCAACATCTTTTCTAGACTGGATTTGGACAGATGTAAGTTCGGCTTGAAGATCCGTACAGCCTTTTGAAAGCGACAAAATTTAAACACAATTAACAAGACTATATTTCGTCCTGACAATAGCTATCGTGAGCGTTACTGGAATCAGCTTTTCTTTGAGGCGGTCAAGAGCATGGAGAAGATCACAAAGGAGCACAACTTGACACTGATTGAGTCCGCTCTCCGTTGGATGACACATCATTCTGGTTTGGGCCCCAACGACGCCATCATTATTGGCGCCTCTTCGATGAGCCATCTCGAGGATAACCTTAAGGATTTGAAGAAGGGGCCTCTGCCAAAGGAGGTGCTCGATGCCTTTGACGAGGCCTGGGAACACGTCAAGGTCGCATGCCCATCGTACTTCAAGACCCCTGCTTCAGTTTCTTCCACTGCTTATCTGAAGTGAGAGGTGGAAACCAAAGGAGCGCGTACGTAGCTCACTCTATGAACATCAAAATGTGCTCATGAATAAACTCTATCACCACGTTTACGCGTTGTATTGCTTGCTTTACAGAATATTAGAAGCAAATGAATTGTGCATCCTTTGTCTAGAGAACGGAGGCGCATTCAACTGTTTCAAAACGCGTGATGCCAATATAATTGTGTATGGCGCGCGCACAATAATCGGTGAAGCATAGAGTCAATCGCGTGAATGACATCGGCCAGCTGCACACACACGAACGATTCATCTCCCGCCTCTCCCTTGTCACTTTCTAGTTTACGCCGAGTCAACAGTATCGTCAACAGTCTCAAAGGAAGGCAGGCTGCTTTGACGTGTCCCCAAGTGTCATCAAACGCGTCAAGAGCCTCCTTTGGCAGCGGGCCCATTTCCAAGTCTTTGAGATTGCTCGGTTGCTCTCAAGATGCTTCGATGTGGAGGCGCCGACAACGATACCGTCATGGTCACGCAATCCATAATGGTGTGTCATCCAACGAAGAGTGGACTCAACCAAAGTCAGGTTATACTCCTTCATGTCTTCCTCCATATCTTTGACCGGCCTCGAAGAATAGTTGGTTCCGTAGCTAGTGCTGAATATAAATAATTCCCAATCAAATACGTTCTTCTGCTATCGCGCGACGAAGGCATATTTTTCGTAGCACACTTACAGCTTTCCGGATCCGGTCTGAAGAAGTGCACAAAATAAGGCCATTGGCCAACCTCTGGGTGGATGTATTGATGAATGCGCACATTGCCAATAATGAGCGAGGGACACCAAAACCTTGAGATCGAAGCGACCATCCTAGGCTTCAATTTCAAAGCTGTATCTGCCTGAAAGAGGGTCTCCAGCCTATGAGTAATCCCGGATACGCGATAAAGGAAGCTGACCGCGAATTTTACAGCCTACAATGGGGTTACAGGTGTAGAAGGAATACCGAGAGCTTTCAAACATGGAAGGAGCGGGATCCTGAGCGTAGGCAACAGATCTTCTCATGAAGCAGCTGCCGTATGAACACAGGCAACCCACCCTGTGTTACATGGAATTAGCACCAGAACCACGCAAAAAAACTCAGCTCCCATGAACTTTACCACCGACACTTCAGTCAGCTCTATTTACAACCTCAACACATACGCGAAAGAAAGAAAATCCTGTTTTAAGGATTTTTATGACACCAAACAATTTTTTTTTCTTTGCTTATAGCACAGAGCGACCTTACGGCACCCGCCGCGCGCAAAGAGCCCAATGGAAAAGATAAAGAATGGAACTCTGAGGTAGCGTGCTAACCCCATGTAATACAGGGTGGATTGCCAATAGGTTTATCCTTGGTTGGGCCATAAGCTCGCTTTTCACTGTTTTCAGGCTAAGCTAGCTACATGGACTTCTAAATATGGCAAATGGATTTCCTACGAACATTCGAAGAGCAAAAGGAAAGTAAAAAACTCGTAAAAAGGAGAGCGCCCAACGTGGGGGTCGAACCCACAGCCTTCAGATTAAGAGTCTGACGCTCTACCGATTGAGCTAGCCGGGCGTTGAGGACCCCTGTTCTGGGACCTTGATGAGTCCGAATGCAGATCCTGCACGTGATTGTGCATTTAGGGAAAAACATGCACTTAGAGATCTGGTTTGGCCGCCGCATCAAAAAAAAAAAAAAAAAAAAGATAGCAACATGGGCACAGGCGCATTAGGCACAACACCAGACAGTCGTCGCAGAGAAAAGCTCGGGTCCCCCTCTCCCCCTCCACAATCCTCCCAAGTTTTCTTTTGACATAAAAGGGGTGTTCATTGTCCCTGCAAGGACATGTTGACCGGCAGATATTTGTATTCCCCTTCCTCCTTCTTCAGCCCCCTGCCTCACCTGGAGCCCCAGAAACGTGTAGACAGAAGCAATGAAGATCATGTGTGGACCACACATCCCCGCTGCTCTGGCTCTGCTGTCGTCTCAGGGTCCGGTGCTCAATAAGGCTCGAAGGGGGCGTCCAAAGGAGAATCTGCAGGTCGTCCTTGCAAGCATCGTCGTGCTGGTCGCGCTATCCTCCGGGGCCACTCAGCTCACTCTCTGCAAGCGCAAGTACTTGTTGGGCTTGAGAGCGAGGTGAGTGGCCCCTGGGACTGAAGAGCTAGAAACATGGCAGATTGAGGCATGTTGCTGACTCGTCTGTGGTGATAGGCGAGGTATACAAGTCCGTGGAATGTGTACTGAGGAACTAGGAATGGGATGCAGGATCACGCTGGTTTTATAGACGGTCAGGAGTTTGCGAGGGCAAGCTCTCGTAGACTGGAGGCGCAGGGACACTTTGTTCTGTACCACATTTTCCTTCCCAGCAGCCGGAGGCGCAAACGTATTCGTTTGTAGCTGGGGGCGCGACTACATTTGTTTGCAGCTGGGGGCGCGACTACATTCGTCTGCAGCTGGAGGCGCAAACACATACACTTTGTAACCAAACTCGAGAGCCATGTTCGTTCATAGCTCTGGCAGGTCCATCAGGTCCATAACTAGAGCATGCGCCTCCAATTTAATGCTGCCATTGCAGTTTAGTTTTTGACATAGCCTGAATATTACTATCGGTGCCAGCCCCAACTTCATATTTCTGCGTCTTTAAGGCCTAGCCCGCAATGTCTCATCTGGACGCGTTTCTTTATTGCATCTTGGAAAAAGTGTACTATTATCGTCCATCGAGTTACGTTGTCGTTTCGCCTAAGAATCATCTCGCCTTCTATTACACGTACTCCTTCCGGTCAATCATTCCAGGGTGTCGATAACATTGTTGGCAGTAGCGCCTCTCAGTCCCTGCCTCCGAATGCTCTGCTATATTCCATGCGATTTGCTCAAGAGAGTATATGAGTCCTATTCTTCCTCCTCCTGCATGCCTCCCGCTTTCAAAAGGTCCAAAATACCTGGATTGTCTGACATGTCCTACAGATTCAAAAAGCAAAAAAAACAGAGCTGTTGGCGATGGGATTCTCGGCGTGAGGCATTACAATTTCATCTACTGGGTGCTTTTCGTGCGTGTAATCCATACCAGCACAGTATATCCGCGCTTGTTCTTGAGCGTGATATCTGCACCGCGCTCAACCAAAGCTGAGACCATGGTTGAGGCGCCCAACAGAACCGCCAGATGCAGTGCCGTGTTTCCGTTCTGAGGGGGTGGGGATAGGAGGATAGGAGACAATGAAGGATGCCGAGAAAGAGAGAGAGAGAGAGGGAGAGAGAGAGAGGAAAGCGAATACAGAGGCAATAAGAGCGTCAATAATTATGATTCAGCTGTAGTTGTTTCGCCGAGCTCGAAAGCAAGCAACGTCTTACCCCAAACCTCGCATCGATATCTATCATTCCACGCCATCCACAAAAAATAAAATTTCCTCTCCCCACAGGGTTAGTCGATCTGCACTGACATTACCTCATTTCCCACTTCATATACACATACATGTTCACTTACCCTGTTCAAAAGTCGCGTCCAGGATATCCTTCGCAATATCATCCTTCCCTGTCAGGATCGCATACTGCAGCCCAGTCATGGGCCCCAAATACGCTCCCAACAGCGTATACGCATCCCTCTCAACTTCTGCAGGGAATCCAACACCCGTTGCAGGTTTCTGTCGAACCCTCGTCGTCGTCAGGTCTGTCTTGTGATCAACCAGCAGCCGACGCACGCTCTCGGTATCCTGGTCTTGGATCGCCTTGAAGAACTCGTCCACCAGTGCCTATCAGGTTCAAAAAAAAAGAAAAAGGTATATGTAGAATATGTAAGGTGTAAGAGTGGGGGTTGCCAGAGGAACAGGGCTTTGCAAAATAAAAATGGAATGAAATGAAGTGAAACGACGAATATCGTTCTCTGTCTTCATCCTGCGCGTGTGGTGGTACATGCCTCAGAGACTTCACTTTTCGTTGTCTCTCCGGGACTCTCATTGCTGCCTTCAGCCTCTGCGCTGCGTCCACTGAGCATCTTTCCAATTGAGCTGAGCATCACAACCTCGGAGTCTTCTGCCCTATGTGATCTTTTCTGTTAGTCGCCTTTTATCGTTCCCTGAGTGCTGTGTAGGCTGAACAGGTCGTTGTCGTTGTCGTTGTCGCTGCTGTTGTCGTCGCGGTGTCTCTTTCTCTTGCCTTGAAGGAATGAGGGACAGAAGGAAAGGGAATGGGTGGCAAAAGAGGAATGAGGGAACAGGAAAAAAAGAAAGAAACCAGGGTGGAGATGGATAATGGATATGGGGATGACACGCACTCCACTCACATTGAAAAAAGGGGCAAGCAAACCATGGCGTGTGATGATGGACCGACTCCTTTGGCCGCAACAAATACCAACCACGCGCTCTCCGCGCTTGGCTCCACCTCCCTTCCCCTCTTTTTTCGTTAGACTTTGTTTGATTTATATATAATACTGAAAACTGAGTGTCGATTGTTAATACATAGTGATAATGGGGAGAACGATAACTTAGGACAGGATGCGATGGGGTGTGATGGGATGCGGAGGTTAAGGGCCTTCCTGGTCGTCGTTGGCTATCGTTCACGCCTGAACCTCAGCCTCAGTCAGCGCCTGCTGCTCCGCTGTCTCCGCATCAGCCTTGACCAACGTCTCCAACCAAGGACTGCCCCCTACAGCAATCTCCCCAAAGCTCTCCTCCTGCTCAACCTTCACCACATCCTTCGTCGCAAGCACAAGCAACTCAAAGAATAACTTTGACGCAGCCGCCTTGTTCCTCTTCTGCTGGCTCTTAGCCGGTCCTTCCATCAGTTCCGTAAATTTCACACGTGCGGTATTGCCCTTGTTCTGTGCTGAACTCGCTGTCGCAACCGTCGCAGTGCGTGTCGATCGAGAGGGTGCACCCTGGTCTTCATCTGCGTTCACGCCTCCATAATATTCAAGTCCTTGCTGAACAAGTCGCATCGTTTGGATCGTCGAGGTCGAAAACACTGTTCCGAGTAATTGCTTTGTCGTCGTCACCGGCGCATTCAATTCCTCCATTTCCTGGAACAACGAGCCCTCTGCTGGCACGCCAGGTACAGCTGTAGCCTCTGCCTGTCCCTCTCTGGTGGGGGAACCCAAGCGGAAGTCATCGAATGTATCTGCGGGAGGCGGTGTGATCTGACGCATGCCGAAATCCAGTTCGTCGTCATGCACCTGTTCCATCCATGTCTCGACTTTGTCCTGCTGCCACAAAGCTCCGCCTTTCTGCGCCTCTACCAAGGGCTCCTCCTGTACAATCTGAAGTCGTCGTGAAAACATGCTCGCCAACTCGGGAACCAATGCGCCACCCATCACACGAGGTCCAGCGGTGCAGTCCAAGAGATAGCCCGCCAGACCACCATGAGCTACATCCTGTTCAATCTGCTGAAGCCTCAGCAGCTTGCGAGATCTCGGAAGCATTTCGTGAGTCGTCAACAGGCCATTCGCCATAAAGTCCTCCTGAGTCATCTCGGTCTCTGCATCGACAACCAACTTGCGTTTTTTAATCATGGGTTGCTGCTGGGCATTCGGCCCCTGTTGACCTTCCTCAGCGATCTCAAAGTTGAGAGGACCACGGGCACCATCCTGGATAGGAAGAAATTCGTCGAAAGCGGGTTGATCCTGAACCGAGCCATGCACACTGGGAGCGCGACCATCTTCAGAGCCCTCACCCAAACGCAATGCTCCTTGCTTTTCTCCCAATCCAACCATACCAAAGGGTTCCGCACTGGCAGACCTGCGCGTAGTCGCCGCATCACGACCAATTTCAATCTCGAGATCATCCCGTCGATGGTTGCGCTTCAAAAAATCAAACTCTCCAGCAGTCGCCAAATCATCATCAAACATTCCGAGGTCCAGGGCATCGTCCGGACCTGCGAGATCGAAATCCATCGTCCTGTATCCTCCTCCACCGATGCGGTTCATTTGAGTCCTCCCGACTTCAATGTCGAGTCCCATATGACGGCGTCCATGATCCAGTGCCTGATAATTCCCTGTAGCAGAGAGCAAATCGCCTTCGTTACTTTCGAGTGTGATATCGCGATGGTCAGAGAGATGATTCAACTTGGGATGCAGGCCCCAGGCACTGATATCAATGGCCTGCGCTGGCATCAACAAGTCGTATTCAGTCATGGCGTCGGGTACTGTAATAGCGTTGAATGCTGCGGCAGCAGCTCTAGAGCCAGCGCCGTGCTCTGCGTTGGCATCAAGCGCGAGGAGATTGCTGTCCTTGCTACTGGCGTCAGACCTGAAGACCTTAATCTTCATCAGGGCCTCGTTACAGTCCTCTAACAGGTATTTTGTCTTGCGTGAGTAGATCCTTGCAACGCCAAGAAGAAGCTGGCCCGAGAGACGAAGTGCCATGGGTGCTTGGTCGGTACCCACGATGGCATCTGAATGGGTTAAATAACAGTGGTAGTGTCAGTTTTTTTTTCTGTTATTTTCCAGATGACTTGCAATATAGACATATAGACAACAGATTGATGGCATAAACATACCAACAGAGCTGTGAAGATTGGTTTGCAGGAGCTGATTCTTTGTCAGCTTGCGCTCCCAGTGTGCGGCAAGCCAGACCTTGGCGAGGGGGCCCTTCTTGGAGAGGATGGCCTCGGAGTAGAACATGGCTGGTGTTCAAGTGAGCGATTCAAGTGGTTTGAATGGAGTGTTGCTCCTTTAGCAGTGGGCAAGAGTGGGCAAGAGTGAGCAAGAGTGGGCAAGGTGCAATGCAAGTCGAAGAAAGTCGGAGCAAGGGATTACAAAGAGTGTACAAGCAAGAGTGTACGCAAACGAGAGCGAAGGAGAAGAGAGGGATGTAGAAGGGGCTCAAAGAGAAGGAGTGATGACAGCTCCCTGAAGAAGATAAACAGGCGAACGCGCGCCTTAAAAAAACAAAAACAATCACGCGTAGGAGCAGGAGCGGGATGCCGTACGTTTGAACGCCGTTGCCACCAAATCGTTCTGCTTCACGTACATATACAGTGCTATGTGGATGTCCACTCAGGCACCTAGACGCGTCTCTCCTCGTCTATTTCATAAATAAGGTCTTTTCTTTATTCTTTATTTTTATTTTTTATCTTTTGTTTTCGTGTATGAGTGTGGGGGTAATGGTGTAGGTGTGTGTGTAGGTGTGTGTAGGCGTGTGGGATGTGTGCAGTTTGCTGAGGTGTGTGTCTGTAGCAATCGTTTCTTCAGCCCAGTTTCTATGAAGCGAGCGTGAAGTCAAGTCCACCGATTGCTCCATGGCCCCAGTCTTTTCTAGTGACCTTTGCCTGCAACCTGACCATTACAATCTCGGGCAACTACCGGTAGCGACGACTGTCATGATCCCGACTATGGCTGCGCTCACGCGACCGCTCTCGACTCCTATCGCGATCCCTGTCGCGTCCTCGTCCTGATCGATCTCGACTGCGGTCCCTTGAGTCCATATGCCGGTCGCTTCTGTCATACGACCGATCGCGTTTGCGGCTGTCCCTCGACCTGTCATCATGACTGTTACCGCCGCCGGTCGCAAGGCTGCCATTGCTGCTGTTCGCCACATAGTTGTTCTCCCGGATGCCATCGCCCACGCTGCGACGCTTGGCTGATCTTCCGTGACTCTCTTCGTCATCGTCGTCCGAGCGATATCGGTGCCTGGAGGAGCCGCCACGATCGCGCGAAGACCCTGACCGGTGGTCCCTGTACCGGGAGCGATTGTCCTCTACCGAGTCGCTTCTCCTTGAGCGGGAGCGTGTGCGGTCCTTGGATCTCCGTCTCGAGCTTGATGATCGCTGAGGGCTGGCGCTGCTATCTCTCGCTGACCTGGATCGATGATGGCCACTATCTCTCTCCCGACTATAATCCCTTCTGGAGGATGGACTCGATCGTCGATGGCTTAATTTCCGTCCGTCCTCCAAATGCTGTCGTTGCTTGGAAGCGCCAGCGGTCTGCACCTCTGCATTTTTGATGTCAAGATATCCCTTGCGCAATTGGGCATAGTGGATTGCTCCTGTTGGGAAAGCCTTGCCTGCATAGGTCCACAGATGCTTCGACAGTCGATCCCGATCCGATTTTGATCTCGAGGATGATGAGGACGAGCCGTCGACAAGGTTCTCGATCTCGCGGCCAATGCGGGCCAAGCATTCCGCAATAGCTTGCGGTTCCACTGGCTTCTTGTCCGATTCCCTGATAGTCCTCAGGTCTCGACTGACAGCCCGCAGCATATCCTTGCTGGACTCATCGTTCTGGCCGCCCGATGACTCTCCCTCACGATCGGATTCTGATCCTGCGCCGTTCCGAGATGAGCGAGTCGGCCGAGATCTGGATGAGCGAGACTTGCTGTTGCTGCTGCCTACACTGTTCTTGTCTCTGGACCTGTTGCTACTGCCCGACTTGCTCTGATCTTTGAAACTGCTGCCGTTGTTGTGGCTACTGCCACCAGAGCTCCGAGACGACTTGCCAGGTTCCCTTCTGGATCCAGATGCTGCTGCCGCTGATTGCCTCGTCTTCTTGTCTCGCTCAGATTCTCGAAGGGTCTTCAGCAGATACTCTCCGCGGCGAACCAAATGAAGGGCCTTGGGAATCTTTTTCAAATCCTTGGCATCCTGTGTCGACAGGAAGAACTTTTTTGAAAATCCAAGGCTCGTATCCTCCTGGATCTTGTCCCATGCGCCGAATCCATGCTTGTAGATTCCAACCACCAGCATCGCATCCTCTTTCTGGCCCCACGAACAAGACCAGTTCAAGACGGGTTTTAGTTGAACGTTCATTCGGAACTTGGCGAGATCCGTTCCATCCAATCTCCTGTTCATGGCGCGCAAGTCCTTGAGCCGCAGAATCATCTGCCCGGCATTCATCTTTTCAACGTCCTTGTAGGTAAAGAGTACAGCCTTGGCGTTCTTCTTGGCATAAGGCAGGTCCTCATCATCATCCTGGTTGTCGATCGAATCATGAGGGACATTCAAGGCGTCTTCACAAGCATGGATCAATTCTTCGGCCTCCTTCTTGACGACCTCCTCTTCCTTGTCCTCCAATTCAGCCTCGGCTACGACATCCTTATAGCGATCTGTAACAATTCCAAACTTGAGCATGCCACGAGCAAGGGCACGAAGGTCCTTGATGTTTAGCTCTGATGGATCCAATCCTGCGCCGCGCTTCTTCTTTGGACCAGACTGTGCAACACTCGCAGCTCCGGAAGCCTTGCGTTTCCTACGACGGCCCTCTGATTCCGGTGAAGGTGAGTTACCCCGACCTTCCGCATATGACACTCGTCCACGATTGCGAGGCGTGTAGAGTTGTTCCTCTAACTTTGCCCTTTCTTCCGCCTCAAGCTGTTCGCGCTCCTCAGCAGGGATGATCTCGTCCCAAGACATATCGCCCGCTCCGAAATCCGCGTACTGGAACTGACTCAAAAACTCTTCGCCTCCAGCCATGGCAACAGCATCCGTCGTATCGTGGTCCTCCGCGCGTGCTAAAATCTCGTCCAGATCTAGTTCATCCAGCTTCTTGTTGGTCGCTCCATCGGTCTGTTGAAACATGCTCTGAGCTCCAAACTTAAGAATCGCCGAAAGTTCATCTTTGGTGAAACCGGTTGAGGTCTCGGCAGCCTTCTTTTGTTGCAAAATTTCGAGTCCGGAGGTGTCCATCTGCTTGATGATACAGTACTCGAGCACCATCTTGCGCTTAGCACGCTCGATGATGTCCTCCTCAATCGTGTCCTTGGAAACGAATCGGTAGACGTTGACAACATTCTTTTGACCGATACGATGAGCACGAGCCATAGCCTGCAAGTCGTTCTGTGGATTCCAATCCGAATCAAAAATAATAACTGTATCCGCAGTCTCCAAGTTGATACCGAGTCCTCCTGCCCGTGTCGAAAGCAAAAACACGAAATCGATCGAGTTGGGCGCATTAAAGTGATCAATGGACCGTTTACGGGCCTCGGAGGCGACACTGCCGTCCAGCCGTTGGAAGGCAAATCCACGAAGAGCCAGATAATCCGTCATGATGTCCAGCATCCTCACCATCTGAGAAAAGATCAACACGCGATGACCGTCTTTCTTGAGTCTCGTCAGCAGCTTGTCGAGCAGGACCATCTTGCCACTGCTCATAATGATACCCTTGAGCTGATCCTCGCGCCTGTCGGAGACCACCTCCGCGTTCGGGAATAAATAGGGGTGGTTACTGGCCTTCTTCAGTTCCATGGCGACGTTCAGTAAGCTGAGCTGTCCATGACCCGACATTCCCTTATTCAGAACCGCAAAGTTCTTGGTAAGAATGTTCTTGTAGTAATGTGTCTGAAGTTGAGACAGCTCAACGCGCAGAATGCGCTCCGTCTTCTTGGGCAAAGACTTCTCGACATCCTTCTTAAGTCGTCGGAGCATATACGGCTTCAAGTTTTCGTGCAGATCCCGAATCTTGGCCTCCTGCTCTGCATCCGCCATATCGATCTCAACGTCGTCGTCAACAAATTTGTCCGGCATCAGAAAGTTGCAGAGCGCTATGAGTTCCTTGACACTGTTCTGCAGCGGCGTTCCAGTGACAAGAAGACGGTTGGCAGTGTTAAAGTCCTTGAGGGTCTCGTGGAGTTGCGATTGCTTGTTTTTGAGTCGATGGGCCTCGTCGATAGCAAGGTATGTCCACTTAATCCTGTCCAGTTCTGCGCGATCCATGCGAACCAGTTCAAAGGTTGTCAGGAGGACGTTGAACTTTAGCTTGGTCGTTGATCCCTTTTGATAGAACTCATAGTCGCGGATTGCCTGTCGGCTTGCGGCATCGCCAATGTATACAATCAAGTTCATATCGGGTGCCCAGCGCTCGAACTCTCGCTGCCAGGCGCCAATAGTTGAAAGAGGGACAACGACCAGATAGGGACCATAAAGATTGTGTTGGTGAAACAAGAACGAGATGATCGAAATCGACTGAACTGTTTTTCCCAGGCCCATCTCATCTGCCAAAATGCCATTCTCATTCCTAGACCACAATCTCGACATCCAATTCAGTCCTGTCAGCTGGTAATCACGGAGTTCGCCACCCACGAGATACTCTGGCTGGGTAACCATCTTTTTAAAGGGCGGCCTCTGCCCCTTTGGATAGATGGTAGTTTTGTATGGCACCTTTTGACTAGACTCGCGGTCCAAAAATGCATCGATTTGCGCCTGATAACCCTCAGAGATTTGGTCCTCGGGTTCCCATGTGGCAGAGCTATAAGGCAGACGGTTCCATTTGCAAAAGTACTCGGTTTCGCCGCTCTTGGAAGTCCTGGAGGCAATAATACGCTCAACAGAGGTATAATCCTTGAGTTCGTCGCGGAGCATCTCCCTGTTGACGTCCGACTGCTCAATCTCCTCCCGCATGGTGTTGGGATCTGCCTTGAGCGCAATTTCGGGGTAGACAATGCGCTGGATGTAGCTGTCGACCTTTTTGAATCCCTTGTACTGTCGGAGATCCTGGTACTGCTCCCAAGTATTGTGCATGTGGCTGTGATGCTTCCATTTAATCATGAATTCCATGTTGTGGTGCGGATCATCCGGCTCATCTGTGTCGTCCTCATCTAAAGCAAGAGACAATGCGTTAGCATCACATTGTATAATCTTCATCATCTGAACAGACACGCCGTTTCAATCAATGACTGAGGACGCACCTGTGTTTTCACAACGACGGAAATCGTGGACGCTTTCAATAACGTCGCCCTCTTCCTCGGGAGCGACTGGTTGTTTCGTGTACACGAGGAGTTTATCGTCTTCAGAGCTGATACCCCAGTCGTTCTCATCCTCATTGTAGTTGACTTGGCCGCCTCGGGAAGAGTAGCGCACTCCTGGTTCTGCGTCCCGGTTGGCTGTTGTGTGCGAGGTGCATATCGTTTAGTGTAGCCACGATGAAATACATCACCTACTTTACCCAGGACATGATAGATCCTTACCATTAGTGCCGCGCTTCCTACGCTTATTGCCAGTTCTTCGTTTGGAATTGCTACCCCAGTCGCCGTCGGAATCGCTTGCTGAAGAAGGGCTATCCTGGGGCGTCATCCTTTGGGCGACTCGATCATTTGATCTTGAATCTGTTTAAAAAACGAAAGAGAATAAAAAGACGTCGTTCGCTAAACTCTAAATGTCTATTCTGCATTTTGTCCTTTGCCTTTTGCAATGTGCGCGTTACCTTTCCGCGTAGAAGATCTGGGGGATTTTTTTTGTTTCCTTGACGAGTTCTTTTTGCCGCCGTATCCGTAATCACTGCCGCTGTCATCAGAATCTTCAGGAGTGCCAGAGTCGGATGCATCGTCATCATCCTCGTTTTCAAAATCACTCTAAAAAGGGGACAAAATGTAAACAGCTGTTGGTGGCGAGAAAGACGGATCTAAAACCGAAGTGAGCGCACAGAGCATTGTTTCATAGCGCCACCAAAATATATATATACCTCTTCTTCCTCTTCATCATCATCATCATCATCAATAATCTTGGGAGGTCTGCGACTCCTGCCCGATCGGCGAAGATCATAGAGCTCCGCATCCACGTTCTTGAACTCTGTTCTGGTCGCTCTTGGGGCTTTGCTGTTGCGCCTCTGACTAGAGTCGGACCCATTGACTTCTTCAAAGCTGTCGTACATACTTTCATCCTGTCGCTTCGAGGTATCCTTCTTTTTGGACTGATACTCTGGTTCATCGTCGTCATCGTCGTCATCGTCCTCACTTGAAGAACCAAAAGATGATGCGTCTGATCCTGAGTGGTTGTTTAGTTGCTTTCTGTTGTTGGCGAGTTCATCGTCCAGGTCTGAGGATGTGTCCGATGCTTGGCGCCTGTGAGGCACAGATGATGATACTCGATCGTCTTCATACGCAGAAGAGTCCTGGGCTATTAAACATTTGAATGTATAGAGTAGTTAGCTCGTTATACGAGAAAGAGTCTTTGGTAGATCTAATAACAAATCAGTCCTGCGTGGGGTCGCAGAAGATGAGAGCGTGGAGAAGGGAGGAGGAATTGAAGTTGCCATGGTATCAAAGAGAGGCGGTCGAAGCACAGCAGGGTTGCCTGCCAAAATAAGCAAAGATGCACAGCAACGAAAATAAAATAGATAGGAGAAATGCTGATAGAGAGCATGGCACGCGCAATTGACGTTTTTGTCTCTGCACCGCAACCAGTCTACCAATGGGTATAGCGTAAGTTCACAAAGAATTTTGGTTGCAAAGACAAGTCGAGAAGAGATGTAGAGCGGCGTGAAGTCATCAAAGGACTTCCCGGATCGAGTCTCGATTCTTGCGCATAAAAGAGATCCGAATATACGTCCAGCCGCGCAGTTGTCCAATCGAGATCATCTCGACTGAGAGCGATTAAAACGATTGAAAGAGTATGCCGATGATGATGGTGATGATGATAATGGTGATGATGACGATGATGATGATAATGATGATGATGATGATGATGATGATGATGATGATGATGATGATGATGATGATGATGGCGATGTCGAGGGATTGAATGCACAGCTGATTGCATCGGGATCCCATCCATGCTAAGCGATCTAAATAAAGAAGAGACCGAGTGAGGGACAGAGAATGGGAGAATGAGAGAGGAAAAGACTTACAATCCATGAATGTCGGCTAAGCAGCAGGGATCGAGGGCCACGGGTCTAATGGAGGGTTGGTTGTTTTCCCTAGAAGGGGGACTGAAAGACTCGGCTCGAGTGTCAAGGCGAAGAGGAGATGTTGTTATTGCTGTTTTTGCTGTTGCTGTTGCTGCTGTTGTTGTTGTTGTTGTGGGCACTGCAGGTGCTTGGTGGCTGGAATCAGACGGGGGTCGTAGCTTGGTAGGACTTTGAAGGACGATTGAAGGCGAAGGAAGAAATGGTAAGGGTTAGCGAGCGAAGGAGTGTGATGAAAGGGAAGGGAAATGAGGAAGAAGGAGGGAGACAGCACAGCATCAACAGCAGATGAACATTTTTTTCGGAGGAAGAGGGGAAGGGGAAGGGGAAGAGAAGAGAAGAGAGGAGAAGAAATGAGATGATCGTGATTGCGATCGTGATAATCAAGAAGAAGAACGCGACGATTAGGGTGGTCAAGGGGTGTTCATCGAAAGAGGATCAGTCGAGGAAGAAAGGGTAGATCATGGAGATTAAAAACGAGTTGCACGGGTATATGGAGAGAGAGAGAGGATAGTGTAGTCAGTCCAGCCAGGGGAGAGGGTATCAGGGTCACTCACACACCAGAGAAAGAGTGATGCAGGCAGGAGCAAGGAAATAACGGGCGAGGCGAAGTCAAGTCAAGGAACGATTAGGGCAGCATTGGGCCTCTGCCATAAGTCCCCCTGTCTTTGTTGGATGAAGAAAAGAAATGGAAGAAGAATGATAGAAGGAGAAGTGTGTGCGTTTGTTGTTGTGGTGCTCACCCCTCGACAACAAAGAGAAATACGGAGAATATTATCACAGCGGCCGAGTGGATGTGTGTGTGAGAGAAGAGGAAAAAACAAAGAGAAAGAACCTCGCGTATAATATCCTCTAAGCCACCATCTACGATCCTCATCCACAGGGACGTGTCCGTTCTCAGCTGGTAGGGTGTGTCGCACCCAAACTGTTTGCTGAGCCTGTAGGTGCCGATCGACCCATTTTATTATCTCTCGCTGCTGTATCCTATCACCCTATCCAGTCCAATTCCACTACTGGTCCTCTTATCCCTGCTTCGTTTTTTTGTATTCGCTTGTCCTCGTGCCGCCTCAGCAATTGACGGATACATATGTCTCCTCAGACGACTGCAACGGCTGCGCCTTCTCCTCAAGGCCACCTTCAATATCCATCTTCATCAAACCATGGCCAGCGTCCCTCAGAGAGTTCAGGAATGCTAGATTAATACAAGATTCAAATACAAAAACGAAGCCATCTCAGTTATATCTGGAGGAATAGAGTGTCAAGCAAAAAGCACTGAACCCTTTCTTACCCGGAATGCCAGACTTGGCCGCCCAATTGATAGCGCCCGAAGGAATGTTGCCCTATTTTGCACAGTAATAAAAAGTCCTTAGGTCAACGATCCGCAAAAACGGCAATCAAGGCAAACAGACGCGAGTGAAATAGAGGCCGGTGCTTACCTTCGGGTTATCATAGTATCCAAACCAGATGTTACATCCTTTACCGTCCTCAGTTGGCTGGATCACTATGTCTTGTCGAAACTCATCCACGCGCACAATGCCTAAATTTTCTGGTGCCGATTCATCCTGAACACTCTTACTGCTCACACACACGATCCCATCCTCAAACTCCTGCGCGCGTAATTCATACACATAGTCGCGTGGATACAGTGGCCAGGGAAATTTTGCCACAAAGTGTAGACGACCGTTTTTGAGGGCCTTCCACCCAATCATATTTGGATCCCAGGTCTTGCGGAAGTCCAGATCCGTATAAGTCCGGAGAAGATAGTGAGGTGGGAGACCAGGGTAACTGCCCAGGACCTTGTATTCTTTGAGAGTGCTGTTGGGTACGGATCGGCGATAGACCTTGAAGTGCTTGGTTTCGGACAAGAGGTCCCAGGAGACTAGATCGGGCTTCCTTATCTCCGCGATCGCATCGTTGACCTGTTCCTCAGTGAACATGAGTTGAGATATAGTGTTTTGAAGGGTGGATTGACGAGAGGAGGGAGTAGAAAGATTAGAAAGATAATAAGAGCAAAGACAAGAGTTGCAAGACCGAATCGCAGGCTAATTATGCGGATTCACTTCTGCCGCAGGTGAAGAAGCACACGACTACACGAAAAACTGGATAACAGTAAGATGCATCGGATGAAAAAAAAAAAAAAGGGAGACGCTTTATGTTATTCAGCTGGACGGTAATTCTGCACCTTGGGCAGACATGGAAGCAAGAATGCTGGACTCTTTTACAATGCGATAGACATCACAGCTGGGTGAGTTGCAGAGCCCTTGTTTATGTAGTGAGGACAGTTGTCTTCCATGGCACCGGTTTCACGAAGCATGGGGTGACATGACATGACATGGCATGACACGATGCGACGCGACACGACGCGTTCATTTTTGTGTATAGCAGGAACTGTGCGCAGCACTAGTGTTGCCTATCCCTAGACAGTTGTAGTCATAGATCTCTCCATCTCGAATGGATTCGATAGAAAACACCACCCAGCCTGGGCGTAGACGCATATATCATTACCATGTGCAGTTGCCCCGCACAGGACACGCCTCAAGAGCGCAGCGCCCATTTCAATGGTCTCAAAGGACACTATGCGGAACAGCAATGATTCGCTTAAGAGCGACGTCATTCTTGGGAATGGCACTATTTAAACGCTCCCGCTCCCACTGATCAAACAAACTCCCATTCCACTCCACTCATCAAGCACATTCACCATGCTTCGCACCGCTACCCGCACCTTCGCCCCCACTCTCACCAAGCCCTCGGCCTTTGCCGGTTTGCGCTTCAAGCACACCCTCCCCTGTACGGTTGAATATACTTTTTGTTTGGTTCGCGCTGATCCTCAACACCTCGGTTCCTCAGCCTACGTAGTCACATCTCAGTCGCGTCTGTCAAAAAAGCAACCTGGATACTAACTGCGCAGCCTCTTTTCTACTCACCTTCCTCAATCATATGGATAGCCCTCCCATATGCCTATGATGTACGTTCTTTGCTCGCAGACGCGTATAACTCGTGCGCGTTTTACAAACGTTTGTTCCCACGAGAACCTCTCGCGCGTTGGTCATGTTATTTTCTCTGACAATCGCATGTTTTGCTGCACCGCGTGTTCTTTTTTTATATATTGTCAATAGGCATTGGAGCCCTATATCAGCAAGGAGATCATGGAGGTCCACCATGCTAAACACCACCAGAGTATGCCTCTCCAGTTCTTGCTTCATTCTTAACCATTTATGGCCCAATTGACGCCATCAAAATCTCATGATTGAGGACGCAGGCATCAACTAGTCTTGGCCCAGAAACACCGTGCGCGTCCAAGCGCTTTTCATTACTAAGCCGATCTTTCGTTCTCTTGATTGTCCTGGTTGGTTTGAACTAAATAGCATATGTCACCAACTTGAACGCTGCTGAGGAGAAGCTCGGATCTGCCTACCAGTCTAAGGATGTCAACGACGAGATCGCCATCCAGTCCGCCCTCAAGTTCAACGGCGGTGGTAAAGAGTCCCCTCCCTTCCCCTCTGCAATTAAATACATTACTGCGTTTGCAAAGTGATATCTTTGCGTGTGCACTTTCTGACTCAATTAGGAAACTGACCATTGGAATTGAACACTGGATAGGCCACATTAACCATACCCTCTTCTGGGAGAATCTGGCTCCTCACGCTCAAAGCGGCAAGCCCTCCGGCGAGCTCCTCAAGGAGATCGAGAAGACCTGGGGCTCCTTGGACAAGTTCATTGAGAAGTTCAATGCCCAGACTGCCGCTGTCCAGGGATCCGGCTGGGGTTGGTTGGTATGTCATCTACCTATGCCTCATTTCACCCAAGAATATAAGAGGCTTGGTAAGGATGGTCACTAACTGATTTTGTTTCGATTCAATCTGGTTTGAAAACAATAGGGTTACAACAAGGAGTTCAAGCGCCTTGAGATTGCCACGACCCCCAACCAGGACCCTCTCAAGGCTACGACCGGTTTGATCCCCCTGTTGGGCATTGACGTCTGGGAGCATGCTTACTACCTTCAGTACAAGAACGTCCGCCCCGACTACCTCAAGGCTGTCTGGGAGGTCATCAACTGGAAGACCGTTGCTGATCGCTTCAACAAGCACCGTTAAGAGCTGCGTAGCCTCTAGTCTTTTCGACAACAGAATTGCAGCAATTCATTTTAGCAACCTGACGGAATAAAAGCATGCCCCATTCGGTGGTGTTCAACTGGATGTGCCGCGAGTACCTTCGTGTCCTCCCCCGTGACACAGTGCCCCTGACCAAGCTGTCAAATCTTGATGCTGCTAAATTATTCGCAGAGCGCAGCCTGTCAAAATTTTTCCTTCTTGACATTCTTCCATCTCGCTCATCTCTCCCCACTCTCATCATGAACCATTCGATGACTAGCGGCTTCATGCCTGGCTACGGCACCGCGATCTGGTCCCCCAACCTGATGCCCATGTCAGAGCCAGAGTATATCGGTGCCCTCATCGGCCTCTTCCTCCTCTCTGTCGGATTCCGTGCCCTCGTCGCTGCTCAAGGATACCTGGAGGCATACCTCCATCTACACTTCTATCCACGACTATCCTCTTCACCATCACCAGGCCGGTCACATCCCGCTGCCGATGTCGATTATCTTCAACAGAGTGCTCAGCCACGGCAATTATCTCAATATATCGCAGACAACCTGGGCGAAATCGGCCATGAGGAACCAGAGTACATCAACGAAAAGCGCCTGGATGATCCCCTTCCAGGACAAGGGGAATCCGACATGCCATCCTCTCTCCCTCCTCCTCAACACACACCACTACCACCAGTAAGGACCCGCACCCGAAAGCGCTACGGCTCGACCAACCGGCACCCCCTCGTCTCCCCTCCGACTTATGCCCCCTCCACCTCACCTTTATTTCCCCTGCCGACCGCACAGCCCTTCATCTGGCAAGCAGAATTCTCTCGCGCGGTCTTGACCACCGCCGTCGTTGGAATTGGATACATGCTCATGCTCGTCGTCATGACCTACAACTCTGGGTACTTTGGTGTCATCCTCGCGGGGATCTTTGTTGGTGAGGTCTATTTCGGACGCTGGGGACGTGTTCGCCCCATCTTCCCTGCATCTCCGAGGGAGCCAAGGTCAAGATCGCATCTTCAACAAAGTCAGCAACAGCATGGACGACGCCAGCAGCAATCGTTGCAACCGGAAATCACTATGCCCTCGGCATTCAACACCAACAGTAGCGGTTCTAGCAGCGGTATATATCCCAGCACCGCCAACGCTGCGTCCGCATCCACGGGCTCACTAGCCTCAAGGGCGTCATCACACGGCTACTCAACAATGCTCCATCATACCGCTGCCGATGCTGCTTGCTAATATTTCCCCCAACTGATCTTCATTTCTACGATTTGAAATTAAAACATCATTTTTAATACTTCTGAGCGTTTTTTATTTTTTTTTTTGTTTTTGTTTTTTTTTTTCGGTCGGTCTCTGACATGACATGGCATGAATTGAGTACCCTGAAAGAGTACGTTTGGTGATGGGGTGCATGAACAAGATGGTTAGATGGATCATTCGTAACAGCAAAAAAAAAAAAAGAAGAATAGGAGAGGAATAGGTATCGTAACGTTGAAATAGAGCAAACCTCGCTCCAGCTCAAGATATGTGAACAAGAAAAGGATAACAAAAATAGCACATAGCAAAAAAAAAGAAAAAGAAAAACAGAGTGGGGATGGGAGACGGGAAGCGAAGGGCAGCAGACGTCCTATGCCTCTTTTGACTTGACAGCGTCCATGGGATCATCCATGTTTTGAATAGTGATCGGTGGCGTGCTGACAAAATGTCCATCGTGCATGAATCCTCCACCATTCTCAATTTCAACTGTACCAGCCTTGCTCATATCTCCCAGTCCATGCTTCTGCTTGCGACTCAGACTGAGTCGTCGGGTCACCTCCGCAAACGGCTTGTCCTTTGGCAGTTCCGTCAATGCTTCTAGCTTAAATCCTTCCCCCAACTGAATCTGACCCGACGTAAAAGAACTTGTCCGACTGCGGCTCCTAGATCGAGTGCCATCTGCAGAAGGTGTCCATGCGCCGGCCCCCCAAGAAGATGTCCTCGATCGTCCCTGAATCGCGCCTGCAGGGTTGAGGAAAAAGAATACGTCGTCCGCATCCGAGTCGTCTGCACGTTCCCACTCGAAACGACCATCGATACCCAGCCACTGGTTAATAGGCTGAGCAGCTGTATTGACCGTGTTAAAGATCGTCTGCGCCAAGTTAGTGCCAGAGGCTGAACGAGAGGCGGCACGAGAGGCTGCACGACTGGGTCGGTCGTTTGGCGAGGGATCCAAGATGCGCTTCGAATCAAAGTCCGGATAAATTTCAGGTGCTAGTTCGTTGATGAGTTCGTTGATAGTCTTTTGCAGTTCCGCGCGCGACCTACGGAGTTCATTGATGGTGTTTTCTTCGCCTGGAATGATCGACAGGAAGAGGGGTCGAATCGATCTGAAGATGTCGACTCCAACCTCACCAAAACGGATGCTGGCATAGGTCACGAAGGGAATGCAAGCCCAGGCCGCCCAGGCGATCAACAGACGGGACATCAGCGAAATGTCAAAGCGGCCACAGATAATAAAGACGATAACGGAATACGAAAAGTAGAGCACAGGCATCAATCCGAGCGCGACCAGCAGTTTCCAGGTGGCCAAAACATCTCTCCCTGCAATCTTGACCGTAGATGCAGCCAAAGCCTCTGTAAATCCCAAATTGTCCAAAGTAATATATTAGCATCCGGATATTAAAATAAGAGTCCGTTGTACACATTAAGGTGCAATCTTGGCACATACGTTTTGCCTTCTTGTTACTGATGATTCGGGCGACAATCGCGACAGGAAGGTTCATAAGCGTTCTATTATAACATATATGCGGATGTCAATATCGTTAGACGTTAGTCTGATCATTCCATATGCCTTAGCGGCCATATGATACCAAAAGTGACGTACCCAGGGAGCGCCAAAATACTCAGGAAGACCATCTGAACGACTCGCCAGATCAGCAGCGCGATAGCGTGTCTCCTCGTGTTGCGAATGTTGACCTGATGGTCGCGAAGGCCATGGTACCGAAGCTGGGTGTTGTAGTGCATGACTTTGTCTTTGGTCTCGATGACTTTTGGGTTATCCTTGAAGTGCAGATAGCCGGCAACGAAGCGGCGGTTTAATTCCACAACCTGAGAGATCTGTAACTTGCGATGTGTTGGTTTGTAAAGGCGGCGAGCAGCTTGGATCACCTAATAACGTCAGAGAAAGGTATGTCAAGTTAATCATCAAACTGACTTTTTTTGTAGATACTGCATAATGTAGAATATCAATCTGCCTTACCATCAAAGTCTCATAATCAGGGGCATTCAGTGTAACGTTTTTCAAAGTGTCATAGATTGTGTCTAGGAGCTTCCCGCAGGCCTCTCGCTTATCGGCGCCACCCTTCCTGTACATCTCAACTAACTCTGGAGGGACAGTCAAAGGTTCGCTGAACTCGACAACAGCGCGGGAACGGAATCGATGGGGATGGAAGTAATTCAGGCCACAGCAAACAATCTTGAGATCCAGCGAAGGATTGGCAGCCAAAGCACCAAGAGCCATGATAGTCACACCAGCTAATGCAGTCGATCACAAAACAATGCGAGAAAATCGATGTCAGTCTTTGGGGTTGTTGGGGATTCCACATCGGTCCAATCGAAAAGCAACAACAGACAACTGCTTCAGTTAATTCATCGAATGTGATACCGTACCTTTCAAAGGCAACATTTCAGCGCGGTCGTGGGAGCCTCCCTCGGGGAAGATACCCACACAATGGCCAGCATTCAGGCGCTCGAAGACAGTCCTGTAAACGTTGCTCTGGTCCATGTGTGGTAAGCACTTGTACTTGGATCCCTCGGCGCTAGTCAAAAGCTCGAGTGCCTTGAGTTCCTTGAATTCCTTCTTGACGATCAATTCCGTATCTGAAATAATCTCAACAACTGCTGAGGCGCCAACATCCTTTGGTAATGTGATCTGATCTCCGACCAGAAGCTCCTTTGTGAACTTTGTGCCGAGTCCTGTGATGCGGAGAGGGTCGCCATAACGGTCCAGTAGCTTGATTGTTCCAGAGCCAGCCTTTGCCAAGTCCTGAGGACGTTCGACAGGAACTATTTTGCGATATCAAGATGGGAAGAAGACAAATGGCGTTCAGCAAAATGCACGAGTATAACAATCAACAGCAAAGGCCATAGCACAAAAGGACACGCGACATCCATGTCATGACTGTTGAAGTGGGAAAAAAGGGGCGGAAAGAGGATCAGACCGCCTTTAATGCAAGCATGACAAAAGCAAGCATTCAGTCGGTGTTGCGAGGGTGTGGATGTGCAAGTTTCTGTGTGTGCGTTTGGAGCCGTTTGAGACTCGAAGAGGTAGATAGAAACGAAATCAGACTTCCCGTAACTGCTTTCCTATCTCTCTCACTGCGATAAAATGATAACACGAAACTCAAACTTTGATCCGAACAAGCGCGCATAAAAGCGAACGAATGTGTTGGGCGAGCAAAAAGCATTGGAAACTTTTCCCACGTATGTCCCATCAAAAATAGTAAAAGCTGAATGCAGCTCATTCCATAATACAGGCAGATAAGAAGATGCTGCAGCATATAGTCGAGAGCGATACGTACTGGCATTCATCGGACGCGCCATAGCACCGATCCACTTGTGATCCATTGACTTTTTGGCGGCCAGAAACGAGACTCGTCTGCCGCATTCCCGCATTAGAACCAGAGGATCGACGAACTATTTAAGCAAATGGCCAGGGTGGACTGGTCAATAAAGAAAACGAGGGATAAGGCTTTTTTTTATTTTTATCAATCGAGTTCGTACCTGGTTGGCATGGGGAGCGGCGACAAAGATGACGGGACCCTGCTTCGGCACCTTGTGTGCACCACGAGTCCGAATCTCTCTGAAGAAGATATCGAGCATGATCGTGAAGAAGAGGGCCACGAAGTCATAGATCTGTAGACCCATGGCTGTGTGTCTGTACGCTGATGTAGAGTAGATGTGTAAAAGGTGCTGTTACTGTTGATGCAAGATGTAGATGAAAAAAAAAAAAAAAGAAGAGAGCGGGAGAGAAAGAGTCGTAATAGATGAAGATTTGGTTGAGTCGTAACAGCGGATGAGATGAAAGCGAATGGAAGAAAGGAAAGAGGGGGAATGGAGCGAGTGGTGGCAACAGAGGGAGGTTTGAGCGCGTCCTTTTATACAAATCTTTATTTTTATGTGGAGTAGGGGAGTGCAGCTGCAGAAATGCGTCCCAAAACAACCCCTCAGTAACTGGCGTATGATGTGATTCGACAGCCCTCTTTCGCACGCCATTCACAAGACACCGCTGTTGCTGACCTGTCTTCAAGCACACGCAGGTCCGACTCCCCGCATCCATACATAGACTAGTAGTACTCGTTCATAGTGCTCCTCAGCAGCAGCAGCCGCTCTCGAGCTCAGGAATAACTATAACCGTTGCGGTCAAAATTCTGTGCCCGGCTATCCAAAAGGGCCAGGGACATGCCACTCAGATACATTTGCACACATGTCGCCGGTAGATTTTGCTTCCAGAGCAAACAGCTATCTAATTTCTCTTCTCCTTCTTCTTGATCGACCCGGTCATTCATTTGTATAGTCGTTGTCCCAGTGCCATTGAACAAGTGTGTATTACATCCTCTCCCGTGCACGTGCATCACCTGCGTGTTTCTAAAACGGGTCATTGCCGCCGGCAGTACTCGTATTTGCTCATTCACAATCAGGCAATGGCTAATGCGAAGTAAGTGCTAATACCATCAGTCAATCGAATCCGATATCGGTATTATTTTTTAATGTTCCGACGCACTTTCACATGTGGATGATCATATACGGTTTCTAGGTGGAGACGATGAGAGGAGGCGACTAATTCTCTTGTAAATTTACAGCTCCTCCTCCTTCTGCTCCATATTGCGCCAGTCGTAATTCAAGAACACCTTTTCTTTCGTACTATGGATTCCATGGTTGATGACATGAACTGCAAGGAAAGAGTCTTTCCTCTTGTCCTCAAAACCGCAAGTTAGCCTATCGGCGTTTAGGCCACATTCCAAGAACGCACATACAACCGCAAACACAGGCAGATGTTTATTGTAGGAGGGCTCTTGATGTTTTTTTAATAACGATCTTTCGTCGCTGCTGCTCAAGGAGGATGCTCCGAGCATCTATGTCGAACATTTTCACACCACTGTCGATCGTGTGCATCGACCCTCTCGCCTATAGTAGGGTTCATTTGCATGTGCAGCATGTCAAACTTGATAGTTGGGAGCACAAGATGACCTGGTTTCATACGAACCAGGCTGATAAACGGACACGTGCACCCATGTAATAATTATAATAGTAATACAGATAGTAAAAATATCGTCCATATGCCGTTTTACTACAATCCTTCAGCCATTGTGATGAAGAACGATCGACAAGACCGACCCCCTCCGAAGCTGGTCTGTGCTTTTCGGTAGTTCTTGTTTTGGGTCGTCCATCTATCTCTCACTGAGTGTCCATTGTGCCACATCTGGACCTATCCATACGCGACTAAATTTCGAAGTAACCTAGCCAGATATGCCCCTTGTATGATTTACATGTTGTTTTCCTATTATAACGCGTGTAGACAACGAGAGCGATGTGCACTGCGCACTTGATTGCCGATATCCCGGTAGATAGTCGCCGATTTTGACCCCGCTGCTGTGCAGGTTCGCATCTGCTCTTTCATCATCTCCTTCCTTTGAGATCGAATGCTTTAGCATAAGCCTCTCAATAAGCGTTTCCCATTCCTGGATACGACATTTGAGGTTGCCTCGTCAGAAAAGGGAGGTCAGGTCGAGGATATCAAATAAATTAAAAATACAAAGTGCGGAGAGTGCGTATCAGGCATGGATGTATTCTTGCTTCACAGCTGGCCCCCTTTACTCATGAGTATCAAAGTGGACAAAGAAACGTCTGAGCAAGGGGACCTCGACAACCTTCCAAAAAAATGCTCACCTTGGATATCTTTCCTGGACATCCTATACGCATCCTCACTCCCGTACTGTGCGGATGGGCTGGCTGACCGGGCGGGTGCTTGATTGCCATCACCGGTATTGCCCTCTCTGTTTGTTGCTGTTGCTTCCAAACCACCCACACAGACTGCAAACTACAGACAAGACAGCGGGGTGAATAGCTACACATTTTTATACGTCGATATAAAGGGTGTCCAGACCATTCAGTCTAGCATTCAGTCCTTGGATGATGATCAAAGCAAAAAAAAAAAAAAAAAAAAAAAGGCACGAACTAGGAACTGGCTGGATTGGCATCTTTTTGTTGCAGCATCTGGGAGAACTTAGACAGACCCACTCAAAGGTTCTCCAGGCCCTCTTTTCTTTCTTGGTCCTACTTCCTTACGGCCACCAACCTTTACCTCCTCTTTTCTTCTCTTCCCTCCTCCGCTCTCCAGCTACGTTCGCCACGAGCGCAGAGAATAACAAACACTCATATCCGCTATTGATGCACGTATTTATCGCCCACTCTTGACGATCACACACATGCACCAGGCATACCAAGCACACCAGGCACCCATCTTTACATTTCACCCCAACAGTCTGTGACACCTACACGGCGCGAACCAACTCCTTACCTTTGTTCTGAACAGCTCCATCCTCACCTCCCAAACGCCGGGGCACCTCCTTCCCGTCTATCCACTGTAACTACAGCCTTTTTGCAGGACACTTCCCTCCATCTCTTTCGGTCTCCTTGCAGTCAAGCGCTCGAAACATATCGACATTGCTGTATCATCTCTCTACAGTCCCCATCCTCAAACACCCATTTGCATCCCCTCTCTCCAACACCAGCCCGCACTGTCTTTCCCATTTTCCTTTTTTTTTCATATCCAACTCTTCCACTTCTCACCTCTCTCACCAGACACATACGATGGGCCTGAGCCCTAATGGTGTCCTCAAGATCTCCCTCTGGCTTCAGGCGGTAAGTTGGATAAGCGAAGACACGGGAGACGAAATATCCTCCGAGGATCATATTGCATTTGATGTTTTGTTTTGTTCATGTAAGCAATGTAAGCACCCCAAAAAACCAACCCTCAATCTTCCTAGGGATCATTGCTAGTGCTGACCTCACTGCTCGCAAACGTGGGTGCCTGGATCGGCGCCGCCCTGACAGCCATCGGAATTTGCTTTGTGGTCATTGGCCTCGGTGCCGCCCACAAGAGGAGTCTAGGATATCTTTATTGTGTAAGTCCTTTTTTTTTTTTTGTGTCCTGTGAGCCACCTCCTAGAAAAATTTAAAGGCGCGAAGCCAATTTCTAAACATGCGCATGGCTTTCGCAGTACGCGACCCTGATAGGCGTTTGGACCTTGCTCGTTGTCGCTCATGTCATCATAATCCTCGGAGGCATTACTGTGCTGAACGAATTGATGGATCCCGTGCTGGTCGTGGGCCAAAAGATCGTCGACAACCACTCCGATGTCATGAAAATCATCGTGCCTGCCCTTTACGGAGTTCAGAGCATCGCCTGGTGCGCCTCGCTGATGTGTCTGGTATCTTTGCGTATGGGTGTCAGGGACCTTACGCTGGGATTCGAGATTCAGAGTCCCAAAAGAAAATCAGGGACTCATTCATTGAACCCAGCTCAAGGAAACAAGGACGGCAGCAAGCGCGGGAATCGCATGAGCCAGCGATTCTTGGGCTTGGGTCAGTCTATGGTCGCACCTCTCGAAAACAACACTGAGACATCAGAAACACAGGAACGGGAGAAGGCGAGGGGTCCCTTGGATATACAACGAGGACAGTGTCACGAAAAACAATCCTCTGGTTACAAAATGGAGGAACCGCGGATGAGCTGGATCAGCGAGGAGAGGAGAATCAGCAACGACAGCAGCGTCATCTATGTTCCGGGGGGAAGGAGGATATCACAGGTGGTCGTTACATTCAGAGACGATGGTATCGACGCTCGAGATGCCGTTTCATCACATCCCTCCGCAGAGCTGAAATCAGGACCAAGCAAAGAGGGAGTCATTATCGCCAGAACAGCCTTCATCAACCATAACTACGGTCTCGGCGACTTGGTATTCGATAAGCCTGGAGAGTCCCTTTCCGACATTATTTTCAAAGTTGTGAAACCTATGCAGGATACCTCTGTTTCCAAGGACTTCGATGGGGTTAGCGACTCCGAGTATACAGACAGCAATACCGACGCAAATTCTCCAACATTGTCTACAGTGACAACTATGGATGACTTTGACATGAACGCACAGGACGATGAGCAGGAGCTCGTAGCAAAAGATCTGGACGCCACTACCGACTCTACTTGCAACCCCTTCGACGGCTGGTCATACAGTAAGGCGCCTCGGCAGATCGAGGATGAACGAGGGCAAGAGTCGGGGACCTTCGCAGGCGCACCAATGAAATGGCCTTCTACACGTCCACCCGTTCCAGCGCGTCGATCTTCTTTCAGTCACCACATCCTTGCTGGAGTACAGTCTGAACCATCGTCTACGGCTGTTATGGGCGCTATTCGCGAGACTGGAGAAAAGGACTGGGCGGATTCAAACACGGAAAGCGGCGACCACGATCCCTACAGCCACATCGATACAATTCCCAGAGTGCAACCCAACTCGTCGAATACGCATCCATACCTGATTAATTCTTCAGTTCCGAGCGTCGAGGCAACCGGCGACGACGCTACGCATTCTGCTGCTGCAAGCAAACCCAGAGCCGAGCTACCATCTCGTCAGTACTGGCGGGCTCGTAACGACACAAACGATGCCGAAGCCTATTTTGATAGCGACAGCTTTTCCTTCGTTTCCAACATCCTTACTTCTCCAACTTCCAGTTCCAGTCCTGCCAAGACGGGCTCGAGAACAAAAATCCAGCCAGCCATCTCGACACCCACATTAACAACACCACAATTCACTATCCCGACGATTGTACTGCACCCGGACGAGGAAGATAATGAGCCGGTGAGAGTCCTCTCCGACATGGATATCGAATACCTATCAACCATGCCGCCAGTCCCACTCCGACTGCTGATACAGCCTTGGGACGAAGTTAATGAGGAGGAGTACTATGAAGAGGATATCAATGATGGATACGACTATGATGACTACCACCCAAGATACGAACAGTATCCAGACGAAATGAATTATGACGACTATGAGGAGGAGGATATACAAAGGGAGATCGACCTTTTACAGGAGGCTGTGCAGAGCGGATCTATTGTTGAAACAATCTATGACCCCTATGCGCTGGACGTGCCCATCAATCTGGCAATTGATTTGCAGGGACTGGAGCAAGGTGATATTAAGGTCGGGCATGGATATGTCTAGCCTGTCATAGGATACACGCGTAGTCGTATGATAGTCTCCAGTAATCAAGTAGCCATTTCACCCTACTACGGATGATGTTATTCCGTGTCCCTTACTTGACAAAAATAGACGTAATGGAATGGATACATTGTCGTTGAACCAGCATCGTTATCATTTCGTCTTGACTCATAAACATGCGAAATACATGATCGTTCATTCTTATCCCCTGAGAAAATAAGGAATTTGGGCGGAGTGATATTGTGAGTATTAATGGTGCCTTCATCTTGAGCACTGTAATCTGCTCGGGGAGGAACATCGGTCATGTAAAGATATATGCCCAGTGGTATCATTATGCTACTCTCCACAGCAGTTCACCAAGACTTGCTTATCTAAATCGCGACCTCTGTATGACCCGAATCATGTTATTGAGACCAATAGATCTCAGAGATCTTGGATCCAACCGCAGAGATGTGATGCTGGAGTCTCGCTCTTCAGTGATGTTGTCCAGAAGCACAGGCATATCGTCGTTGAAACACGGGTTTGTGTACAGTGTGTTCAGAAACCATCAGCGCTGACTCCGGATTTCGGTAAGGATCTCGCTTTGGAAGGTAAACAGCCGTTCCTCTTCTATGAGTTCTTCATGGAGATAGTAATCGAGGGGGGGGAAAGTAATGGGTGGAAAGGGAGGATGCGAGAAAAGAATGGCAAGCGAAAGTAAAGCTCACTCCACCATATGTTGTGGACCATTGGCCACCTGTTAAGTGTATGGACGCCAACCTAGACTACGAAATACGAATCAATTTTGCCACCAATTTCTGTTTTACCATTTATGCTGAGCAAACGGATCCATCATTTCCGGAGGACGAAATTCGCGTGCATCCCAACCGATGGAGTTACTTGCACCAAACGATGTAGAAAAATCGAGTTTCCTAAGTAAAATGTCCTTGTTTTTGCACGAAGACATCCATTTACTATGCGACATTGGAGCCCAAAGATCCGGGGTAGCTGCACGTGATGCTGCTATAATCGCTGGTGGAGGGAGAAAAAAAAGAGGAGCCCTTTGCCTTGCACGATGTGGTCAAGTCGCCATCATGAAACTCGATCAACATCCCTCCAGCCCCCTCGCTTAGAATGGTCCCAGGTCAGGCAATGGACTAAACCGACTTGATATTGCAAGTTGCTGTTTCCGCAAGCTAACGCGTTGTTATTTTGCAGATCGACCGCTGGCTGCAGGCAAAATACCGCAGCGAGGAAGTACCACCCTTTGAGCGGACGGAAGAGTCGGCAAAGGCGCTCCTGGAACTGATACGACTTAACGAAGTCCAGGATGAACATGCACGCGAAGCTCTTCTTTCTTTGCAGGAAGTCTCGGCATCCTATCGGAATGAAGGTACTCAATGCGGAGCTCTTTCGACACCCAAAGATTTCTTCTAGCATGCCCAGATACTAATCGTACTACTTTGCAAATTGATCCTAGATACCAAGTTGAAAGAGAACCTTCATGTCCTCGGTATCCAACAAGACCACCTCCCCAGCAACGCTCAACTATTACTCTCCCAGCTCTCAGAACTTGCCATGCTCCTCGGTACCTCCGACACCACCCTCGCCACCTTTCATCAAGGTCTTGCGCAGCTCTACCTCGATACCCTCCAATACTCTCACCAACAAACACAGCAGAAAGCACGGCTGGCAGCTTTTAGAAGGAGTGAAATCGAGGCACAGGCAGGACTTGATCGATTAATAGAACTGAAACGTCAATTGGCTTTGCAGCGGGAAACTGAGGGGGATATCGAACAGAGGACACGGAGGCGGAGCGCAGAGCTGAGTAGGATCAGAGCTGTAGAGGACCAGGAGACGTTGCAGCATATTTTAAAGACGCATCAGAACAGTGATTTGAATATAGAGGCGCATGGACTGTCTGTTGCACAGTTGGATAGTAAGGAAAGGACAGTAGCAGAATTGCAGGCGCAATCGGAAGCGCAGGCAAAGATGCTGGCAGCCTATCAGGAGATTCCTCCGGTATGTTTTATAATATTGAATACAGCCAACTACTTGCCACGAACAGAAGTGCAGCTGGACTAATCGAGGTGTTGGACATCTTGGTGTTGATAGGATTACACGCTGGCAAAGTTGAAGTTGACAGAGGCCACCATGCGGCTGAACGAGCTTACAGCAAAGCACGAGGCGCTCCTCACAGAACTGGCCAATGACCTGTAGCTCTGTTAAGATTGGTACAGCAATTAACGATGGATAAACATTCATTGCCGCAAAGGGCGCGTTTAATTTTTTTTTCTCTCTATTTCGATTTGCATGGCATTATCGTACGGAGCAAAATAAAATATCAAGAAGGTGTTTGGACAATACTCGAAAGGTCCTTTTTAGATGTTGCTAGTGAAGAACCACTTGTCGATGGAGGCGTCGATGGGAGCGGCGGGCTTTGCAGACGAAGCAGGGATGCTCTTGATGATCTCGTGGCTAACCTCAACCTTGTGGGGGCTGTTCTCGACAGAGACATTGCTCCTATAGATCGGATCCAAAAAAAAATGACACAAGCATGGTTAATTGATTTGTTACAATAAGAAGGGAACAAAACTTGGCCAACTGAAGAAGAAATCGCTCGCTCGACGTACACCTTGACATCATAGGCCTCGGCCTTGGATGGGATCTCGCCAGAGATCAGACGCTTCCAGGCAACGTGGGTATCCTCAATGACCTTGGTAGCATAGGCCTTGTCCTTGGCGGCACCATCAAACGCAAACTCGTTCTCGGGCTTGCCATCGGGCTTCTTGTAGATGCGGAACCAGTCGCGGGTGGCATCAATCAGACCTGGGAGAAGACGCTCCACATCCGCAATGTCGTTCAGCTGATCGGCCAAAGGATCCTTGACGTCGATGACCAGGATCTTCCAGTCAGTTTCGCCTATTACCACAGGAGCGATAGTAAGATGATGTTAGAACAATGTCCTGAATTAATGTACTGCGAACTATGGATAAAAGCGAAACGAAGTGTTGTCTTTACCCTCATCGAGGAGAGCCATGACACCGAGAGCCTTGACCTGCTTGATCTGGCCAGTGTATCCGACCTGCTCGCCAATCTCGCAAGCATCCAAGGGATCATTGTCACCACGAGCCTTGGTGTCGCTGTCAATATGAGTAGGATCCTCCCAGGTCTATCGATTTCAAAAAAAAAAAAAAAAAAAAAAGGCAGGTCTTCATGTGAATAGATAGATAATCTCGTTGCAGGATCAATTGAGTCCTCAGCAGCAAAGATAACAAGGGACAGAGATAATTCGTATTCGTACCTGGGGAAGAGCACCATAGTTCCAGATGTATCCGTGGTGGGGGAAGCAGTTGCGGACGAAGCGGAGCTTGCCCTTCTTGACATCCTGCTTGATGGGGTTGAGATCCTCGTCCTTGGAGATCTCGAGCTTGGCGTTAGACCAGCGAGGGATCTCAACAATCATGTTGTAGATCTTCTTGGACTCGTCCGCATAAAGAGGGATGTCATGGAAGGCCGAGACGGGGGCGCCGTTTTTCTCTGCGTGGGAAAATAAGAGATTGTCAAACGCGTGTTAGTGAGTGAGCTACAGAGAGAGAGTCCTTCTGATCCTTCTGATCTGAAGATCAGGTTCCGATGGAGGATCAGGGGAAAGCGAGCCAGTTGAAGGGAAGCTTACCGATGTAGACACGGTACTCGAGGGTGTTGGGGGCGTCGACGACGCGAGTGGAGTAGTCAGACATGGCGAAGAGTGCAGGTGGAGCGGCGTGGAATGCGCGTGTGGAAATGGGGTGATGGAGTTGTTGAAGAGAGTGGAGACGGAGGAGAGAAGGAGAAGGAGAAGAAGAGGCAGAGAAGGCGGTGCGACAGAGGCGGAGAGATGATCTGATCAGAAGAGACGCCAGAATGGAAGAACGAACAAGAGGAGAGATCAAGAAGCAATGGGTGAGAAGGAAGGAATGATTGGAATATGTTCGGGTGACTAAGGGATTGGTTGGCATTTGACTGCGTCCAAGTGAGAGCCATGGCCATGGCGCAATCGATCCTGCCGCCACATATCACACCATACCATACTCTCTCTCCCCCTTCTCCCTCTTGACCCTCGGCCCCACTCCCACCAACGTCCGAGGAGCCCATCCGGCGCCCTTTGGTCCTCCACTGAACGTCCAGTGGATGCCTGTTTCTTTGTGGCGGGCCTTCTTCATCCATCCATCGATATCTGACTGGGTGTAGTGGCTGTGACCGTCCCCGACTTATCTCCGCACACACACTCTCTCACACACACACATACTCACACACACACACACTCTCTCTCTCTCTAAACAATCGCATTCATTTGGTCCCATTCCTCCACTTCGCTCTTCATTCTCTCATTAGAACTTCAAACATTCAGCCAGTAACACCTAGACAGAAGTACACACGATGTTGCTCTCGGTCGTCCGGACAGGCTGGCGCGGGGCACACTACCTCTGCTTGCTCGCTTTCCTCACATTCGCCTTCGATATCTCCAAGGACTGTGGACTCGACTACTCGCTCTGGCTGGTTTCATACTACACCAGCACCCTACTTCTCAAACGCGTCCTGCGTGGACCTCTCAGTGTCGTGGCATGTCTCCAAAGTTTCTCGTCCAATTTCTCTGTTGGATGCGAATTCGTTATGCATGGTGCTGATGTACAGTTTGCACTGCCTGCTTAGATAAACACATCCACATTGCTCGAACCCTTGGTGGTCGTCGGGTTGCTCATCTTGGCCGCTTTCAAAGCAACAAAGGGGGCAGCAGGACCGCACTGGATCTGGGAGAGTGCCATCAAA